TTATGTGACGACAAGAGTGGAAGTGGCACATTTTACAATATTTTGGTGGGCGTTTTTCCTCTAGGTCCCTTACCAGTGCTCTCGACTTTTTTGAACGTGCTCCCTGAGAGCACAACATCTGTCGCTCCTCGAACTTCCAGTTGCCTCTGAAGAGAGGGTTTTCCCTTCTACCCTTGTGGCCACAGAATGCCCAAGTGCAGTCACGGAGAACAACACTGCAACGAATTGTGGCTGGATCGAAAGGCGTGGGTGGACACAACCTTCAGAGCCAGGCGCTGTGTCACCAGCAGAGCTGTGCCAGTGTGGCCCCATTTTACCCTGCAGTACTGGGACAACGTGTCACTAAGAAACCCTGCAGCAGAGCTGTGCAATGCAGAGCTCCATTAATCCCAGCAGTGCTTTGCCAATATGTCACCACTAACCCAGCAGAGTGGTGCCAACATGTCCCTAATAAACCGATCAGAGCTGTACAAAGTGCTACCATTCAAGCAAGCAGAGCTGTGCCAGTGTGCACCCATTCAACCCCACACAGCTGTGCACTATTTCTCCATTCAACCTAGCAGGGCTGTGCCAATGTGTCCCCATGAAATCCAGCAGAGCAGTGCCCGTGTGCCATCAGGAAATACAGTAAAGCGGTGTGTATGGGGACTGCTGAGTCACAGCCTAAACCTCTGATTGATCAGCTGAGGCGAGCAATGAGTCAGCCAGAGGAGCACAGCTGAAGTCAATTCAACTGTGCTGCCGGAGGCCATGCTGCACCCCTCCTAGACCTATGTAAGAGCTGGCTACCAGTGGGGAAGGATCTCTTCCGGAGACAGCCTCTGCTGGTGTTTGGTGAGTGAGTCCTGGACGGGGGTAAGCCTACTGTTTGTTCTCTTTTGTCATGGTCCGCTTTGCTTAACTGTCTTGTTTATTTCGTGACTAGAACATCCTTTGATTATACACTTGGCGAGCCAGGCAGGCCAAATGTACTAAAATGTACATCATGTCTTTTCTTGGGAATTTCTTCAATGGGTGAAGGGGGAGAACAATACTTTTCTGGAGAAAATGATTCCAGGATTTGTGGGATCCCCCTACTACGAGCTAGCGGTTCCCATTAAGAAATGGGGTCCCTTAGGCGTTGTGGGCAATATCTCCCCATATCGCATGGCGGATTACTTTCAAGGACTTAATTTTTTTAAATTTTAATTTTATTTTTTACATTTTTTTTTCTTTTCTTTTCTTTTCTTTTTATGTTATTTTTATTTCACGGTCTCTTCTGCCATAGTGTCGCCAAAAATGAGGACTGTAGCTATTTTTTTTTTTTTTTTTTTTTTGCGACTACCATCCGGTGTGCTATCCGGCTACGCGCATGCGCATGTGCAAAATGGCGGGGATGTTCGTGCACGCGCAGTAGGTCGTCAAATTCAGCGCATGCGCAGTGCTGTACGGGAACTGGCGCGTGCGCAGTGCGCTGCGGCACAAGTGCGCATGCGCGGCAGAAACGTGCGCGTATATAAAGAGAGTGTCAGCGGCCGGATTTCCGCATAGATGTTGCTTTTATGGGACTGCTCGGGGCCGAGCTGCTGCGCATCGCAAACCTCTGAACCACTGCGAATTGCTTCAAATTGCTGCGAATCACTCCGAGCTGCTTCGAATTGTGCCGAGCAGCTCGGAATAGCTCCAAGCCCCTCCTAGCCGCTGCGAGCCCCTCTGAAGCCCTTCGATCTGCTCCGAAGCCCTCCAAGCCGCTCCATAGCACACCAAAGCGCCGCGAGCCACTCCAAAACGCGCCGAGCCGCTCGTGTTCCACTGGTGCTGTGCGGGCTTTGAAACAGCTGGAGAGCAGCGTAAGGCTGGGGGTGGAAAAGGACGTTTGCTGTCTCCTGGGGTGGCGAAGGGGAACAGGGAGCCGAACCGTTCGATTCCCGGCTGGGTTCCAGGCTAAAACTGCGGCAATAGATGGGGGGCTTCCTGGGGTAGAAGGGGAGAAAACAAACGGCTGAGCTGGCGGTGTGAGAATCAGCTCCTGGCCCGGAGCCGCAGCACTCTGTGGAAGCAATGGCTGCCACGAACTGCCGGGTGCATGTTCGCTATGAGTGGAGGACTGAGCACCATAGAGAGCGGCAGAGGAGCTGTGCAGAGCGGTCAGAACGGCGCTTCCGCGTTGGTGGACGCATGCGTCGTGCCGTCTTTGGGCCTCAGCAGTGGGCAGCGGCAGTTCCACGCATCGGCCACGCGGTAACAGCAGAGAGCGCGGCCACCACTTTGCTGCCGGCTGAATGGCGGGGCTCGGCGACTCGGTGAATCACCTGTGGGGCACTTGTGGGTCCCTGTGTGTAACTTGTGAGTCACAGGCTGCTGTGGGTCATTTGTGGGGCACTGGAGAGGAACTTGTGAGTCATAGATGACTTGTGAGGCGATGATGGGGCACTTGTGGGGCACTTCTGGGATACAGGATGCTGTGGATCACTTGTGGGGCACCGATGGGGTAGTTCTGAAGCGGTGATGGGTTACTTGTGGGGCTCTAGGGGGTCAGTTGTGGGGTGCTGATTTGTGTCTTGTGGGGCAATTGTGGGACTCCATGGGTCACTTATGGACCACTTCTGGGGCGCTGATATGCCCCTTGCGGGTCACTTGGGAGGCACTTGTGGGTCACAGGGTGCTGTGGGTCATTTATGGGGCTCTGTGGAGCAGTTATGGGGCGGTGATGTGTCACTTGTGAGTCACTGGTGGGGTGCTTATGGGTCGCTTATGGGACACTGGTCGGCTCTTGTGGGGCACTTGTGGGTTGCTGATGGGGCACTTGTGGGTACTTGTGGTGCACTGCTGTGTTTCTTGTGGGGCATTTGTGGGTCACTGCGCAAGGGAGTTGTGGTTCACAGGTCACTCCGGAGTTCTCTGGGTCACTTTTGTGGTGCCATGGGGCGCTTATGGGGCACTTAAGGGCACTTGTGAGTCACTCATGGGTCCCTGCAGTGCCACTTGTGGGGATCTTGTGGGGCACTTGTAGGGCACTGACGGGGCACCTGTGGGTCTCTTGTTTTTCAGTTCTGGGTCACTTGTGGGTCCCTGCTGTGCCACTTGTGGGGCACTTTTGGGGCACTGGGGGGGCACTTGTGGGTCGTAGGTGACTTGTGGGGAGCTGATGGGGCACGTGTGGAGCACGTGTGGGGCACTGATGTGCCACTGGGGGTGTACTTGTGGGGCACTGGGGGGGCACTTGTGGGTCACAGGTCACTTGTGGGGCGCTGATGGGTCACATGGGGCCACTGGTGGGGCACTTGTGGGTTACTTATAAGGGAACTGAGGTGTCACTCATGGGCCACTTGTGGGTCTGTACGGTGCCGCTTGTGGGGCGCTGATGGGTCGCTTGTTGGGTACTTGTGCGCACTTGATGTGTCACTTGTGGGATTTTGTGGGTCACTTGTGGGTCCCTGATGTGCAACTTCTGGGGTGCTGATGTGTCACTTGTGGGGCGCTTTTCGGGCACCGATGTGACAGTTACAGGGCGCTGCCGTCTCACCTGTGGGGCGCTGGTGGGGCAGTTGTGGGTCACTTGTGGGGCGCTGATGTGTCGCTTACGGGGCACTTGTGGGTCACTGCGGAAGGCAATTGTGGGTCACAGGTAACTCTGGAGCTCTTTGGGTCATTTGTGTGGCTCCATGGGACACTTATGGGGCACTTGAGGGTCACTTATGGGTCCCTGTGGTGCTACTTGCAAGGATCTTGTGGGGCATTTGTAGGGCACTGACAGGGCACTTGTGGGGCACTTGTGGTTCACAGGATGCTGTTGGTCACTTGTGTATCCGTGCTGTGCTGCTTGTGGGTTGCTTGTGTGGCACTTGAGGGTCACCGCATGCTGTGGGATACTTGCACAGCACCTGTGGGGCTCTAGGAGGGCACTTGTGGGGTGCAGATTTGTCAATCCTGGGACGCTGGTGTGTTACTTATGGGTCACTGGTGGGCATTTGTGGGTCGCAGCCATCTCACTTGGAGGGCACTTATGGGGCGCTTGCGAGGCACTGATGTGTCGCATTTGGGGCAATTGTGGGGCACTTGTGGGGGTGCTGATGTGTCACTTGTGAGTCAATTGTAGGTCTCCACATTGCAACTGGGCAGTCACTTGTGAGGCACTTGTGGGTCACTAGTGGAGCTCTGATGGGGCACTTGTGGGGCAGTGATGTGTCACCCGCAGAGCGGTGAGCAGGCACATGAGGGGCACTGATATGTTGCTCGTGGGTCACTTAAGGGTCCCTGCAGTACTATTTGTGGGGCAAGTGTAGGGTGCTGATGTTCCCCCACACCTCACCTTCCTCCGCATCCCCGTTTCCCCCATCTTGGAACAGCTGGAACAGCCGGTGCAGGGTGGCAGCAGCAGGGTGGAAGCCCAGGTGGGTGCGATGAAGCCGGGGGTGGGACTGGGTGGAGCCCAAGCCCTGCCTGAGCTCATTTAAGGGCTGGGAATGGCAGGGCTCAGATGTGTGCCTGGGCTTCTGGTGTCAGTGGGGTTGGGTGAGCAGTGAGGTTTGGGAGGGACCGACTTGTTGGCCTTGAGATTGATGCCCAGCTCCTTGCTCGTCGCATTCTGTTCGGCTCGAGGTTCCGGACACAGCTTGCTCTTCTAAGCAGTGTGAGGACTGCGAGAAAGACTTTGTTGGATGCAGCAGGAAAGCACAGCTGCTGGTGGATGCCAGTGTCCGCTCCTGAGGCTCTGCGCCAAGGTACGTGGATCCCTGCCGTCTCCTGTTTCACACGCTCGCTCAGGTCCTTTGGGGCTTGGTGTCGCTTGTCCCTCGTGCTCCCGTTGCTGTCACCGGATGTTGTTCCTTTCCCCATGCTCAGGTCTGCCCAGTGCTGATGGGATGCCAGTGCCACCTGCTGCTCTTAAGAAAAGGTAGGTTTGATTTCTTTTGGTTTCCATAGCATTTGCTACACTTTCACTCTGTCTCTCTTTTTTTTTTCTTTTTGCTCTCAATAAATGGCAGGTTCAATTCCTTTTGGCTCCTGTAGTGTTTGCTACACGTGTGTTCTGTTTCTCTTCTCTTTTTTCCATGTTGCCTGGCGGTGCCTCGCTGGAGTTCCCATGAGCCCCGGTCCCACTTGTGACCAAGTGAGGTGCCAAAAACAGAGGTATCTCCTAAACAGGCTTGTGCTGAGTGCTGTCCTCGTCTTGGGGTTTGTCCAATGCCCACCTTTCTTTTCTAGCCCACTTTGTTGAGGACGGCGTGTGAGGCTTTCTTCTTTCTTTGTAGGATTGGGGACTCCAGCCCCAGAAGTAGCAGGCATTTGGGGATGTCCAAGGTTCCGCAGTGAACGTGTCCTGTTCCTGGTAAAGGTGTGGGCGTTCCTGGACACGAAGGTATCTATCTTCATGCCTTGCCCATGTGCCCAGTCCCCCACCAGATGCTGTTTGCCTTTTGGACCCCTGATTTGCTGCACTGCTGCGCCCTGATCCTTGCAGAGGGGTAAGTGACACCTTTGTCCCTTCCGGAACGCGCTCTCCACTTTCCTCTCGTTGGTCATCGGCAGCACCATCCTTCTCTCGCCAGCCACTCATTGGTCACCGGCAGCGCCGTCCCGCCCTCGCCAGCCTGTGATTGGTCAGCGGCAGTGCCGTCCCGCCCTCATGTGTCTCTCATTGGTGATCGACAGCACCGTCCCGCTCTATCAGCGTCTCATTGGTCATCGGCAGCGCCGTCCCGCCCCCGCCAGCCTTTCACTGGTAATCGGTAACGCCGTCCCACCTTCATGTGCCTCTCATTGGTCATCGGCAGCGCTGTCCCGCCCTCGCCAGTCTATCATTGGTCATCGACAGCTCCATCCCGCCTCCGCCAGCATCTCATTGGACAGCAGCAGCCTTTTCCCCGCCTTTTCCCCGCCTTTTCCCCGCCTTTCTCTTCACCTTCCCCCGGCCCCTTTTCCCCTTTCCTTTTCCTTCTTCTCATGTCCTGTTTTTTCCTTCCAGGTCTCCTTTTTACTCTCCCTTCCCCCCTTTTATCTCCCTGTTTTTTGCCCATTTTTCCCCCTCTTCTCCTCTCTCCTTTTCTCCTCCTCATCTGCTTTTCTTTTTCCTCCCTTTCTCATTCTTCTTTTCCCCTTTCCCCTCTTGTCTTCCTTTCCCTTTTGCCCCCTTTACTCTCCTCCGCCCCCTTCTTCTTCTTTTTGCCCCCATCCCCACTTCCCCTTTCACCCCCTTTACCCCTTTTCCTCCCCATCTCCCTTTTCTCCCCGTCCCCCTTTCTTGTTTTCCTTTTCCTCTTTTTCTCCCCCTTCCTTTCCCCCCCCCCCCGCCTCGGCCCCATTCCTTTTTCCTTCCCCATCATCCCCTTTTCTTCCAAAGCCCATTCCATTCGCAGTGCGATAGCGGCTCCTGCGAGCAGCCGAGCCCCAAGCAGCAGCGCTGCGTCTTGGCTCCCCCATTGCCCGCTGCTGAGCTCTTCCTGCCCTGGCTCCTCATTGGCTGAGTGCTGCAGCTTCCCCTTTTTGGCGACGCTTCACCACTCGCACAAACAGCCAGCAGACGCACATCTTTGCTGCACAAACACACACAGGCCTTCATTGCTTCATTGCTTTCTCACCACTGCTCTCTTAACCAACGTGCGGTCGGAACTTGCGGCTCTCAGGTTTTCAGCATCAACACAGACACAGCCTCTGAATTGCTTCATTACCCCCTGCCATTCGTGACCTTCCCGCTGCTCGTCGTTCTGCTCATCCGGCCGTCCTTCCGCAGTGCTGAGCTCGGCAGGAGGACAGAGGGGAGCAGCTGGGAGCTTCACAGCCTCCTCGCGTTCCCACGCAGCGGGACAGCGCTGCTGCGTGCGACAGCCCTGATTCCTTCCTCGTCCCACTTTTCTTTTTTTTTCCTCCCTCGTCCCACTTTTCCTTTTTTTTCCTCCCTCGTCCCACTTTTCCTTTTTTTCCTCCCTCGTCCTCCTTTTCCTTTTTTTCCTCCCTCGTCCCCCTTTTCCTTTTGTCCTTCTCATGCACTTCCTGCTATCCCGCCTTATCCCCGCCTTCCCTCATCTCTTCTTGCACTCTTTGACCCCTTTTTCTCCCCCCATCCTTATTTCTCTTCACATTCTCCTGTTCTTTTTTCCCCTTTCCTCTTCTTTGTCCCCAGCTCTGCTTCCCCCCACCTCACGTCCCCTTTCTTCTGTCCCTGTACCCCATTTTTCCCTTTTTTTCCCCACCCCCTTTTTTTGTTCTCTGCTGTCCCCTATTCCCTTTTTCCTCTTTGCTCTCTCTCTCCTTTCTTCCCCCTCATCCTGTTACAGAAGAGAGTGAAGGAATGATGGACAAGCTGGTGCAGGATGGCAGCAGCAGGGTGGAAGCCCAGGTGGGTGCAATGAAGCCGGGGGTGGGACTGGGTGGAGCCCAAGCCCTGCCTGAGCTCATTTAAGGGCTGGGAATGGCAGGGCTCAGATGTGTGCCTGGGCTTCTGGTGTCAGTGGGGTTGGGTGAGCAGTGAGGTTTGGGAGGGACCGACTTGTTGGCCTTGAGATTGATGCCCAGCTCCTTGCTCGTCGCATTCTGTTCGGCTCGAGGTTCCGGACACGGCTTGCTCTTCTAAGCAGTGTGAGGACTGCGAGAAAGACTTTGTTGGATGCAGCAGGAAAGCACAGCCGCTGGTGGATGCCAGTGTCCGCTCCTGCGCCAAGGTACGTGGATCCCTGCCGTCTCCTGTTTCACACGCTCGCTCAGGTCCTTTGGGGCTTGGTGTCGCTTGTCCCTCGTGCTCCCGTTGCTTTCACTGGGTGTTGTTCCTTTCCCCATGCTCAGCTCTGCCCAGTGCTGATGGGATGCCAGTGCCACCTGCTGCTCTTAAGAAAAGGTAGGTTTGATTTCTTTTGGTTTCCATAGCATTTGCTACACTTTCATTCTGTCTCTCTTCTTTTTTTTTTTTTTTTTTCTTTTTGCTCTCAATAAATGGCAGGTTCAATTCCTTTTGGCTCCTGTAGTGTTTGCTACACGTGTGTTCTGTTTCTCTTCTCTTTTTTCCATGTTGCCTGGCGGTGCCTCGCTGGAGTTCCCATGAGCCCCGGTCCCACTTGTGACCAAGTGAGGTGCCAAAAACAGAGGTATCTCCTAAACAGGCTTGTGCTGAGTGCTGTCCTCGTCTTGGGGTTTGTCCAATGCCCACCTTTCTTTTCTAGCCCACTTTGTTGAGGACGGCGTGTGAGGCTTTCTTCTTTCTTTGTAGGATTGGGGACTCCAGCCCCAGAAGTAGCAGGCATTTGGGGATGTCCAAGGTTCCGCAGTGAACGTGTCCTGTTCCTTCTACGTGGCTCCAAGTCTGCATTCTGTGATGACAAGAGTCAAAAGGAAAACGCTCTGAAGAGGGAACGGGAAATGCGAGGAGCGACAGATGTTGTGCTCCTTGGGAGCACAATCGAAATAGTCGGGAGCGCTGTAGTCTGCACTGCGTACAGCAAAAAACCCCGTCAAAAGGACCGCAGAAGGCAGGCAGAATTCGCAAGTTCTCGGCATCGGAATGGCACTACGCGCTGTCACGGTTTGTAAGCGGCACTCACGGTGAATCGCTCCGGAGCGCTTGCCGTTGCTGCATGAGAAAACACACTTCTCTGCGAATGCAGCTTGCAGCCTCCAGCAGCGGTCTCGTGTTTCTCAGTCGCTGGGAATGGTCGACTGCAGTCGGCTGCTTTTCTCCAAATAGCGTGCTCTTATGCACATGTGGGAGAGGAGATGTTTGGACTTCGCCTTGTGTAAAAATATGAAGATTGCACTACACTTGGCTCTGAAGGTTGTCTCCATGACTTTCGATTGAGAGAGATGTTGTGGTAGTGAGTTTATCCCTGGCTCCAAGTCTGCAATCTGTGACGACAAGAGTCGAAGGGATAACGATCTGTAAAGAGGGAAGGGGAATAGCAAGGAGTGACAGATGTTGTGCTCTTTGGGAGCACATCCGAAAAATTCGGGAGCGCTGTAATCTGCACTGCGGAGAAAAAAAACCTTTTCGGCAGGTCCGCAGAAGGCAAGCAGAATTCGCAAGTTCTTGTCGTCAGAATGGCACTACTTCGCTCTCGCTGTTCGAAAGTGGCACTCAGAGCGAACCACTCCGAATCGTTTGCACTCACCACAGAGAATTCGCTATTCTCCCCGAATGTCGCTTGCAGCTTCGAGCAGCGGTCCCGTTCTTCTTGGTCGCCGGGAAAGGTCGAGTGCAACCGGTGTCTTTTCTCCCAGTAGTGGGATCTTCTGCTCACGTAGGAACGGAGTAGTTTGGACTTCGCCTCATGTAAAAATAAGCAGACAGCTCTACACCTGGCATGAAGGTTGTGTCCATGCCTTTCGATCCAGCGACAATTCGTGGTAGTGTGCATCTCTGTGGCTTCAGGTCTACATTCTGTGATGACAAGAGTCAAAGGGATAAGCCTCTCTAAAGAGGAAACGGGAAATGCGAGCAGCGACAAATGCTGTGCTCTTTGGGAGCACAATCGTAAATGTCCAGAGCAATGTAGTGTGCACTGCAAGGAGAAAATACCCCGCCTGAAGGACCGCAGAAGGCAGGCCAAATTCGCACGTTCTCGGCATTGGAATGGCACTTCTTCCCTCACGCTGTTCGAAAACAACACTAGGGGGAACCGCTCTGGAGCGTTTGCACTCGCCACCAAGAATTAGCTGTTCTCCCCGAATGCCGCTTGCAGCCTCCAGCAGCGGTCTCGTGCTTCTCGGTCGCCGGGAAAGGGCGACTGCAGTCGGCTGCTTTTCTCCGAGTACCGGGCTCTTCTGCACACATACAAACAGAGATGTTCGGACTTTGCCTCATGTAAAAATACGAAGATTGCACTACGCCTGGCTCTGCGTCACCATATGCCTCATCTCTTATGCCTTCAAGGTGGCACAGTGGCAAAGGTTATGTTTTTTTTTAATGGGGGAGCATTAGCACAGCTCTGCTGGGTTTAATGGGGAAACACTGGAACAACCCTGTATGCTTTAATGGTGGCACATTAGCACAGCTCTCTGGGTTTAATGGTGGGACTTTGGCACAGATCTGCTGGGTTTATTCCGGCACAGCTTTGTTGTTCTTAGTGGTTACACAATTGACAGCTCTGCTCTGTTCAATAGTGACACCTGCACAGCTCTGATGGGTTGAATGGTGAAAGACTGGCAAACATATGCTGGGTTTCATGGAGACACACTGGCGCATCTCTTCTGGGTTTCCTGGTGACGCATTGCACAGCTGTGCTAGGTTGACTAGTGGCATAGCTCTGCTAGGCTTAATGATGGCACATTTTACAATATTTTGGTGGGCGTTTTTCCTCTAGGTCCCTTACCAGTGCTCCCGACTTTTTTGAACGTGCTCCCTGAGAGCACAACATCTGTCGCTCCTCGAACTTCCAGTTGCCTCTGAAGAGAGGGTTTTCCCTTCTACCCTTGTGGCCACAGAATGCCCAAGTGCAGTCACGGAGAACAACACTGCAACGAATTGTGGCTGGATCGAAAGGCGTGGGTGGACACAACCTTCAGAGCCAGGCATAGTGTCACCAGCAGAGCTGTGCCAGTGTGGCCCCATTTTACCCTGCAGAACTGGGACAATGTGTCACTAAGAAACCCTGCAGCAGAGCTGTGCAGTGTGCCTCCATTAATCCCAGCAGTGCTTTGCCAATATGTCACCACTAACCCAGCAGAGTGGTGCCAATGTGTCAGTAATAAACTGAGCAGAGCTGTGCCATGTGCCACCATTAAACCCAGCAGAGCTGTGCCAATGTGTCACCAATAACTTCAGCAGAGCTGTCAATGTGCCACCAATAAACCCAGCAGAGCTGTTCTAATGTGCCAGCATCAAGCCCAGCAGAGCTGTGCCAATGTGCCACCATTAAATCCAGCAGAGCTGTGCCTATGTGCCAGAATCAAGCCCAGCAGAACTTTGCCAATGCGTCACTATTGAACCCAACAGTGCTGTGCCAATGTGCCACCATTAAGCCCAGCAGAGCTGTGCCAATGTGTCACCATTAAGCCCAGCACAGCTGTGCCAATGTGTCACCTTTAACTAGTCAAGTCAGACAGACCAAGACTACGATGCTGACCTGTAACCAGGCACAGTGCAGCTAGAGCTCCTTCTGCAGTCACTGGAGCAGCTTCCCCACCTCCAGATCTACAGGCAATATGCACACAAAGCACAGCAAGTCCGTCTATGTTCCACACTCACAGAGAACAAGTTGACAAGTTGAACGTTTACATTAATTATGCTAAGTCACTATTCAAAGCAATGAATAAGCTTTTTGGAGAAAATAAATAAAAAGAGAGAAGTCCCCACGATCTTCTACTTCTCACGAGCCAGGAAATGCAGCAGGCATCCATTCATCCTCACCGCCACAAAGTGTCAGCAGTCCCAGCAGTGCCCGTCTCCAGTCCTGCCCTTTTCGAGTCCCTCTCCTGCCTCTGATGTAGCCCTGACCAGGCCCTGTTCTGCCCCCATTCCGTTTAGCCCATTCCTGTTCTCATCTTGTCCCTGGATCCTCCACCTCACCTTGCCTATGTTCCTGTCCCTACCCCGACCCTACCACTATCTCCACACCTACTCTCACCCTTTTCTTTATCCTCCTATCACTGCCCGTCCCTCTCTTTTCCCTCTCCTGCCCATCTCTCCTGCCCCTGTCCCTATCACTCGTCCTGCCCCTACCCCTACACTTTTCCCTATCCCACCCCTTTCCCTCTCCTGTTTCCTTCCCTTCCCTATCCCTGTGCTGTCCCTGCTCCAGGCTGACAACAGAATCCCCTGGCAGCCCACCACAAAGTTGAAGGGAAATTGTAAGCAAGGAGAACAGAAGTGTGATGAATGAGAGGGGAGGACAGAGAGGGCAGAAGAGAAGAAAGGACACAGGTAAGCAGAGCTAATGGGGCAGGAGAAAGCAGGAGATGGCAGGGGAGAATGGACAAGAGGGAAGAGCAGAAAGGCAGTGAAAATAGGATTCCTTGAAATAAGTGTTTACAGCTTTATTACAAGACAGGATGCCTCACAGTAAGATGGATGGTTTCCAATTCCTGAATTACAGAGGATACATAAGGATTCATAGGGTTAAGAAACCTAGCAAGAAAATGCCACATTCTAAAGCAAACGGCCCAGGAACAATTCCAGCTACTGCACTCCCTTGAGAGCCTCAATGGGACTCTCATCTGCTCACAGGGCCCAACGCGAGAGGATCAGCTGCTCTGGGGGAAAAGGGCTGGGAACCATGTTCCAGTTTGTATACTTGGAAGGAGGCTAGGGAAGCAGCTCCACGTAAAGACAAGAATAAAACGATGGCCAAGCTCCAATGCAACAGGTGCAGGACCAACAACCCCTCGTGGAGCTCCAAATACTTTGGAAAAACGGGTCCTCACAAACTGTAAGAGCCTTAAATGACCCCGGAGCAGTGGCCTCCTTAACATATGGGAACCCCAAGAAACGTGAAGGACAACTGGTAGCTATTATAGGGCTGGGAGGAAAACAACCTGAAGCTGTACAAACACAAATAGAAATGAGAATAGGAAACCCCCCACAACGACTGCATCCTGTGATGACTGTCCCCGCCCCAGAATACATCGCAGGGATGGGCATTCTAAAATGACTAACACTGAATCTCCCCAGTGCTCAGCCCCAGTTTGGAATAAGGAATTGCATTCGTGCTCCAACAATTTCACTGGGAAAAGTAACAATGCCTGCTGTGCAGATTCCTGCTGCAACTGAAGTAGTGACAGTGAAACAGTACAGGACCTGGGGGGGGGGGGAGCATGAAGAGATATCAAGGACAATTAATGATTTATTGGGTGCAGGAGTTTTAAGTCAGCTACTACAGCTCGGAACAATCCAACATGGCCTGTCAAAAAGCGGTGGGTTGTGGGAGGAATTAAACAAGCTCACCCCGCCTCTCACAGCAGCTGCAGCAGTTAGTGTTGCTTTAACAGAAAAAGCTCAGAACCATTCCAGAGCAGGGCATGCTGTAATTGATTTAGCTAATGCTAGCTTCTTCACGATCCTGACTGCAGAGAAACGCCTTCCCGTGGCAGAGGTGACAAGATCCTGTCTGTAGATGGCCTCAGGGACGGCTGCACAGCCCAACCATCTGCCACAGAACTGTGGCTGAACATCTGCATGACACCAAACTGCCTCCTCACATGCAAACAGTTCATTATGTAGATGACGTCCTGACTCAGGGAAACCGATGAGCAGGGGGAGTCCTTCCAAGAATTCTCGGGGCGCGCCAAAGGCGTCTCCTTCCTCAACTGGTCCTGCAGCCGAACAGAGAGTGTCCCATCTGGGGTGCCCAACTGATCTGCGGAATCAAACTCTCGAACCCACGTCAGGTTATGAGAGCAGATACGTCTTTCTTTCAGCACTGCGCCACACGCCGGGCGCAAGGGGGATCGCTCCTCCTAGCTGGCGCGCCACAGTGGGGTCTCGATACATTTATTAGCACAGCCATACATATCCAGTAGTGTAACCCAAAACGGGGAAGCAGCGCGGCCGTGGCAGCACTGCGGGGAAACCTGCTGCGCTGCAGCGTGTGCCCAGAGCCTCCGGTCCCGCTGCTGGGCACCGCCGGGTGCAGCCTGGCTCCGTCCTCTCCGCACCTCCCTGCACGGGGCGGGCGGCGCCGAGGACGCGGGGCGGCGGGGCGGCTAAGCGCCTCTTTCCCCGCGCGGAGTCCCGCGGCTCCGCCGTCGCGCCGGCACCACCGTGCCGACCCCCCATCCGCGGACGCCATTGGAGGAGAGCCCGCGCTCGCCCCCCTCCTCCGCGCTGCCATTGGTCGGTCCGCCGGATGGGGCGGGCGCTCCGCGCGGGGTCCGTTCCGTCCGCGGTCGCGCCGTTATTGCGTCATCTCCGCGCGCGTCCCGCATGGCCCCGGCTGGGGCTGCGGGCAGAGGACGAGGAGGGCGGGGACGCGGGGGACGGCAGTGCAGCCCACCCCAAGCGGAGTCCAAGTGCCCGCACGGCAGCACCTCCACGAGGAGCGGGTGGGCATCGCTGTGGAGCAGCCGAGCCTCTTGGAGGAGGACTTAGAGTCAGGCAGCCGGTCCCAGGCACCGGGCAGCACACTCAAGCGTCATGCAGTCACACTTCTCTCCAAATTCCGTGCTTGATGAAATCCGTAGAAATCTTCATTCCATGGTGATTTCAACCAAATGATGTCTAAATATTCTTTCTCACCCTTCACTTCCCTTTCCTGCACTTGAAGCAGCAGCCCGCCGATCATCGGGGGCTCAGTTTGCCATCAGAGATTGTCAGTGGTCATCTGAAGGCTTTGTTGGCTGTCAGAGGGCTCCACTGATCAGCAGAGATCGTGTGTCCCTTCCACGCCCCCCCCCCCCCCCCCCGTCTCTCTATGTCACTTCCGCTGTGTGCTTTCCATGTTGCTTCCTAGTGGCCCCGTGATGGTTTCTGGTATCCCCAAAGCCATCTCAAGCACACCAAGGGGTCCCGGTGTCCCTGTGGCAGAGCTCCTGGCATCCTCGTTCTTGGTTCCAGGATGCTCAAAGCCACCATGACCCCACAAGGGGATTCTTGGCTCCCCGTGAGGGTCCTGGTATCACCAAGGCCATCGTGACCATGAACCTGTCACCTCCTGCGCGCATCACCACGTGTCCCCTTGATGCCACCATGTCCCCTTCTGAAATGGCAGGAGATTGGAGACCTCCAGACCCTGCAGGGAGGTGACAGGGTTCACCCCCAGGCCCCCTGCCACAGAACCACGCAGTGTGGTTCTGGAGCAGTCCTGTTGCGTCCTACCACAGAGCAGGGGCTCCTGGAGTCACTGAGGGGACACTGAGGTGTCTTGAGGGGCTGCCGGGGGGGCAAGACGGAAGGGGTGGAGCCAGAGCTCCAGGCTGCAGGTCTCTGGGGGGTGACTGCAAACCCAGGGATCCAACCCCTATGGAGTCCCCTCACGTTGCCCCAGGACCTCTCAACCCCTCCAAAATCCCCCAGTGCCAGTGGGAACTCCAGCCTCAACGGGACTCCCCATTTCTTCCCAAATATAATAAAGCCCCTGGAAGAAAGACAGGACCCCTGGGAATGCACACACCTCCCAGCCCTTGTTAGGACTCTCCCCATTGAAACAGGAGCCCAGAGAGCCCCACAACCCAACGGGACCCCCAGCCACAATGGGACTCCCCAGTCCTCCCAAGACCAGTAAGATCCCCTCCAACAAATCGTATAGGAGACCCTGGAGTCCCCGGAGTCCCCAGCCCCAATGAGAGACCTCCTAACCCTCCCACCACCAAGACCATCATCTCCCCCCAAAGTCAGGACCTCTAGGAGCCCCTAACCCCAATGGGATGCCCCCATAATCTCACTCTTTTGGGGCCCCGCATTACTCCTGTGTTCTCCTGCTGTCCCTTGGTGGTTTTGGTGCACCCAGCGTCCCCCCCGTTCTCCCCTCCCTGGTGGTTCTGTGCCCCCAAGTCCCCTCGGTCCCTGTCCAAGTGGCTCTGGGGGCCCCTGGGCCGCCCTCAGTGTCCCCCTTTGTTCCCTCCCCAGTCGCTCTGGGTTCCCAGTGCAGAAGTCATCACTGAAAAATCACAGTTGCGTGTCTGCATCTGCAACTTCGGCTGGAAGTCCTAGGGCTTTCTCACACCTCGATTAGAAAGGAAACAAAAGCAGGAAAAAGACACTGCAAGTTGAGTGGTGCTGAGGCAGCAATGACTGAAAAGGCAGAGCCCTGTACAGCATCCCCCAGGGAGGGACGCCTGGCAAGAGATCAAATCCCTGCATCTCGCTCTGCAGGTCATCAGCGCGGTGACTCGTCATGCTAGAAAGGGGTGGGGAAAGGGGGACAAGTTGTTCTTCCCACACGCACAGTAGAAGACTGTAACTTTGGCTAAAACAAAATGTGAGAGTCCTCCGCGTAGAAAGAATTTTGTGTCTTTTAATGAGGGTTTTGGGACAAATTTGAAGAAATTTGAAGGAGAAGGGGAAAGGAAATGGGGACATCATCCTCCAAGAGAGAAGCAGGACAGCGCAGGGCAGGCAGTGGATTCCCGAGGTGGCTGTGCATAAATAAAGGGCAACCGTCGGCTTCTCAGTTCTCCGCTCACGCAGGGTGAGCTGCACCCCGCAGCTGTCAGGGCCGGGCAATGAAGAACAGCACGTCGCAGATGACCTGGGAGAGCAAGGAATCCACCGCGGGCGACACGGAGATGTCCAACAGCCGCGACTCGTGCAGCATGAACTGCGAGCGGCTCTCGCCCACCTCGGCCAGGGCGAGCAGCGCCCGAGCCGCTCGGCGCATCATGTCCACGCTCGGTGGCTCGCAGGGCGCGTTCTGCTCGGGCACCGGGCCGGCCTGGCTCTGCTGGCACCGTGCGGCGGCCAGCCCGTCCTCCAAGAAGCCCAGCAAGTCGCCCACACTCCTCTCCTGCGAGGCAATCGCCCTCGCTGCCAGGCTGTCCCCCTGTGCCAAGGCGGCCAGTAGGATCACCGCCATCTCTCGGCACACCGGGCTCCCTCTGTCGCGGAGGAAACGCAGCAGGGTGCTGTACAGCATCTCCAAGCGGCTGGTGGGGGGAGCTGCGAGGATCAAATCCACGTTGGTGTCCCGGGTGCTCAGTTTGCTGAGCGTTTCCAAAGCCAGGCTCCGAGGGGAGAGGACGGCATTCGACCCCAGCGCTGGAAAAGGGTCCTGGGCCTCTGCTGATGGACACACTGCCCAGTGGAGGAGTCCGTCCAGGATGGGCAAGCAGAGGCTTTCTGGGAGAGGGGACAGGTCCAGCTGGCCAGAAATGTTGGCCAGCGTCACCAGTGTGTTCTCACGCAGCCCCTGCAGGCAGTCCCGCCACCACTCCTCCTGGCCGCAGCTCAGCCCCTGGTCCTGCTCGAGCTCCTCTCTCTCCGAGCTCAGGGCTGCCTGCTTGCGCTCTGGGTGCTCATGGTGTAAGAGCAGCAGTTTCCCCAGGATCAGCAGCAGCCCGGCGTGTTTGCACATCTCGGCGTCATTGCCCGGCACAAACGACAAGCTCCTGATGATGTTGGAGACACAGATGCAGCGCTTCGCCACAGAGTCCTGCCAGTCGTGGGTGAGGCAGAGCGGTGCCTCGTCTCTGCTGCGAGGCTCATCCTCCAGAATTGCTGAGGAGCTGTCAGATGGAGGAGCCTGCCCTTCCCGAGCATTTCCATTGCTCTCAGCCGTGGAGCGCTCTCTCTTGCTCTCAAAGTGGGTCTGGATGTGCTCAGTGGTATCTCCGCCGCCAAGCTGCCAGAGCAGGTGGGCGCCCTCCAACCCACAGAGTGATCTTTGCCCTGGGCAAATACCCACCTCGTACTCCTCCAGGATTCCAAAGACCTCGATCAGGCAGCGGCGGAAATACTCCACCAGGACTTCCAGCAGGCCTGGCAGCTATGGGGGAGGAGAAAAACGGGAGGGGAAGGAAGGAAAGATGGATCAGTGACCACAAAATAATTCTGAGGTCGCTGTGAGCAATTGGACAACCACTGCATAAAGGGCAGAGATCTTGAGGAGCCGCTTATTAATGGAATCTTTTCATTCTGGCAATAAGCTCTTTGCAACAGAGACCTTTCTGTCCGCTTGGAACAGAAACAAGGGTCCCAGAATGTCAGGATCCAGCCAGCTCGTACCCTTGTAAACATGCACGCTCTCGGTTTTCGTCTCCTCTCTGAGTAACGCTCAGGAGAGAGGCAATGCTAAGCAGAGCAGCCTCTAAAGTATAGTGGAACAGTTTTTGCAACAGCCTTGCAGGCACGAGGCAAATCATGGAGACAGGCTGCCCCTTCTAGAGGCACCCAAGCCACGCTGCACGCTGACCCGTGCGCAAAGACAGAGCTGTTGCACCAGGAGAGGCGAGCAGCCTTCAGCCCTTCACAGCGCTCTGCTGCAAAGCCCCTCTTGGCCTCCCCACCACGGTTCCCTTTCTGCGATACGTTAGAGGCGACACGTCCCACCAGAGAGGAGAGACCACGCGCTTGCACACCAACCACATGGAAATCCACAGCTCAGCGAGCGCTCGGTGCTGAGCATCTGCACCCACCTGCCTGAGGTCAAAGGACGCGACGCTGCTGTCATCGTGGAGCAGGACAGTTATGGTGTCTAAGGCCCACGTGCTTTCAGCGAGCAGCCCAGACTTCAGAGACATCATCACCCTCCAGGCTGCAGGAGCTCCTGGAACACAAACACGTCATAGTTCCAGACCCTGGCCTTCAAAACCGAGAAGGAGGGACTGGATACTGCTTTTTTGTCTCACACAGAGCACAGCCTGCTGAAGGCGTTGCACAGGCTCCACGCAAAAGCAGTCTCCACACAGACAGTGCCCAACACAAACGTTATACCCAGTCCTTCTGGGTCCCTTCACCCTTGCGTTATCACAGAACGACAGAACGTCCCAACTAACTTGGCAAAGGAGACCACTTGCAGAGCTGGCAGAGCCCTTCCAATTGGCAGCACTGTACCAAAGGGGGATGGCAACACCCAGCCTCTCGATGGGCGCAGGCAGAAAAGCAGGAGTTTCCTCTTACCAACATCTGCTGCTGTCAGCCGCCTCCTTTTCTGTAACACCGGCTTGGCAGCTTCCACCGATCCCGGAGGGAAGGAGACGGCCCGTCGCTTCCTGGCAGGCTGTTCCGCTGCCGGTGCCACGTGCGCGGCGGGGATGGGCGGTCCTGCCTTCTTCTTTCCCCTCCCTGGCTGCGGGGATGCAGATTTGCTGGGAGCGGTGCGATTCTCCAGAGCTCTGGGCTGCTGCTGCGGCTGCCCCTGCCCGGCGCTGCATGGGACGCTGTGCATCCCCGCTTTGAGCCGCTTGGCAGGTGGGGTGCAGCTGCTGTCCATCGGTCGCCTGGGATTCTAGATGGAAAGTAAAGCCATCGGCAACATGAGGTCATCGAGCCAGAAACGGGCAACACAGACTCAGTGGGGAGAAACGCTCAGCGCCACAGGACACTTCCTCTCGGGCTCACCACCCAGCTCACAGGGTTCAGTGATCTCGCTGGCCGTAGCAGAGGAACTGGACTGATGGAAGGAAACACATCAGGACTGAGGAGCACAAAAACACCTGCATCACATCCCAGATGGCTTCAAAGAGCAGTCAGACCTCAAGGTTCTGCTGTCATATTCAGATCAGCTTTCTGCCAGACCCACACTTGTCTCAGATCAGGTCCATGTCAGTTTAAAAGACAACTACGACTCAACAAAGGTACCAGGGAACCAGCTGCTACTAGCAGAACATGCATTTCTAAAAAGGAAAAGCTTTCACCAAGCAAACCTCACGGAGACGTTGCAGAGCCACCTCTTTGAGAGACCTCCTGTGGCCTCATTTGCTCCATACGTCAGGAAACGCCTCAGCCAGTTGCACGTGGCATTCCCCAGGGCTGCAGCACGACGTAGATTTTGGCACAGTCTCTACTTTGCTGAGACCACATCTGATTCGAGCAACAGTCTCATTAGCTATGGACTGCATTTGGAGAGTTGGAGAGACCGACCGACCCACCGGGAGCATCTGGTCCGGTCCATTCCCTCCAACTAACAACGGCAAGGCCGGCCCAGCGTTGACTCGGGGACAAACCGAGCTCTGCAGAGGGATGGGGAGGACAGTGCTGCATCCCGGCTGCTCACACCTGGCAGGAGATGCCAGCATATGCCACTCTCCAAAAGAGAAAACATCCCAACAGACGATATCCCACTCACTGGCCACGCTGCTGACGTAACACTGGGCTCACACGGAGCAGCAAGATCACATCCTGCGCAAACGGCCACGCTAACGGCAGCTCTGCTCACAGTAGAGGGCAAGTGACATTGGGTTTCTCTCGGGCGCTGCACTCACTACTAGATACGTACACTGTGTCATTTACAAACGAACAAACAAACAGAAGTTTTACCTTCGACTGCAGTTCTGCTTTTTGGGTCTCTTCTCCCCTCTTTCTTCTTTTAGTTGCAGGAGTTAATTTGACATCCGCCAGACCCATCACTTCAGGACTTGCTGCCACCCCTAGGAAGTCACAGGAATTTGTGACATTGCTTTTCAATCCATGCTGTGAAGTCTTCAAAGCCCAGCACTCAGCCCAGCCTTACCTGCAGAGCCGTTAGCCATGTTCCCACCCATGGGATAAGGTGGGCCCTGGCGGTTGATCACACCAGCCATGCTGTTAGTTCCCTGTCCGTAAGGAGGTCCAGTGCCCAGCATTCCCCCTTGGTTCACACTGGGATAACCGGGTGGCCTGGAGAGGGCAAGGAAAAAACAGGCGTTCACTCCAAATAAAGATGCTTCCATTGGTGTTTGGGCCTCTTCTGTTAGCAGTGAAGGGAGAGGAAAAAGCCTTCCAGAAGGCAAATCCTTAAGGAAGTGTATGTTGACTATCACCCCAGCTTTGGGCTACTGCAGCCATGGCTTTCAAAGCCAGCTACGACAGAGGGAATGGATTGATACGTAGAGACCAAGGAAATGTTCACGCCTCACCAGTGCTGGATGGCGCTGGCAGCAGCACACACGGCGGCTGCTCCTTGTGCTCTGTGAGCCATGCCACCTGCTGGGGGGCGCATCCCTGCCCCCAGCTGAGGAGGAACGCTGCCACGCAACTGGCTCCCTGCTGCCGCCGGGTTCATGCTTCCTCCCAGTCCTGCGCTGCAGAAGTTGGCACCGGGCAGAGCGCTGCAGTTGGGCCACACGGGATAAGCTCCTAGAGGGGTGGCAAGAGGGGAAGACGGCATCGTTCAACCGGTTCGTTCATGAACCGCCATGCAGACCTCCTGTCAGCAGATACTTCAAGGTCACTCACGGAGAAGAGGGAGAGACTTAGGACTTGTGCTAAAAGTCAAAGCGCCTGGATAGGAGCCACGTAACGTGCGTTTTGACACAGCTAAGGAACAACACCGAGCCTAAAGCTGTCTGGCACTCTCCCAACCTTCAGCCAACCACACTGAGCTATACAATACAGCACAGGATGTAAAAAAGCCTCTAAACCCTTTCCAAAACATAGAACGTGGGATTTCCTTTCCCTGCGTAGCGAAATGGCTCTTTAACACACTGCAGGTGCTGCCTGTATCTTCCTAAGTGAGAAGGAGAGATGCAACGGTTGAAAGTACAGCCAGCCCTGAGAGCAACGTCGTTCATGACTCCCAGCATAATACACAGAGCACAGGTTGTTCCAGCTCACGAGCAGTGGACTGCTTTGCATTGCCCGTGCAAGAAGTGAAGAAGAATCAAATCAAAACGCTTTCTCCAAAGACAAGACGTTGCCTCCGACAGAGGCCTTTCCCATTCGCTGCACGCGGTTCCCCCTTGAGAAGCTGCCCATGCCTCACCTTGAGGGCTGTGCTGCCCGGCCTGGGGTCTGTGGCTTCCCGTGCAGTTCTGCTGATATGGCCCCACTGCAGCGTGCATCTGTCCTCCAGAAGGCAGATGGAGAAATAAGGCTGAGCCGGACTGGGAAGAGCTGTGCTGCGGCACCTGAGCATTCCTCTGCAAGTAACCTGGTCACCCAGGGAGAGGAGCAGGCAGTGAGTGAAGGACCCAGAGGTGCCGCTGGACACGCGTGTCTTTAGTAACCACGGCCCACAGGGCCCACTGACAGAAGCCTGCCAGCACCATCCCAGCCACATTTTGCAGTTGTTGCTAGTAGGGTGCCAGCATCACCCACTAAGATAACAGATCCCATTTCCTCTTTCACCCAAGGAACATACCTTCAGCCACCAAGGCTGAAACTTCGGGCTCATTTTCCCTTACCGTCACACAGGGAAATGAGACCCAACAGCGTCACAGCCACCCCTCGTTGGGAAGCTTAAGGTCACAGAGCTTGGAAAACCAGCAGCCATAGGAAAGTCTTGCCAAAGCCAGAGGAAACATCTTACAAGCCCAACTACTGGCCTGCATCGAACACTCAGAGGCCGAAGGACTGGCAACAGTCAAACGTGGTGCCAGGCGCCGGAACGCTTGCAGCAAACAGCGCTGGCACAGCCTCCAGGTGCTATCTCAGCACAGAATGCACGTCATCAGGCCGGGCACTTCCCAGTTACGCACCCAGCTTCACAAACAGATTTGTACCATGAGCTCCAAACCCAACTCACATACCTGGGTCTTGCACAAAGCCTGACTGGTTGATGGAAGGATGCAGGACGCTGTTCCACTGCACACCGGGCGCTTGGGGCGGCACCGGATTGCCTGCACCAGACGGGTCCTGCAACACCGAGAGACAGATGAGCCACAAAGAAGGAGACTCGCCTTACTGTCAGTAACGTGCTATCCAGCAGCGCCACGCTGCTGAGAGCTGTGATTCCTGCGCATGGGAGGAGAGAAGCGCAGAGTGCAATGCTGTTCCCCACCTACCAAGTCATCTTCTCAGGATGCCAAACACCCAGGCACAGAGTGCTTTTCTAACTAAACCCTTCCAAAGGACACCTTCCAACTCCGACATCTCCATTGATTGTGCCAGAAACGACACCACATGGGACCCAAAGGAGGGGGCGGGGGAGTTCATCCACCTCAGGGCTGGAAGTCCTGGCAGGACTGGCTCAACGGAGCCTGTTAGATCATGCTGGAAACAGCAAGGTTTCTCTTCCATGACAAGGGGAACGACCACTGCACACTGCGTGCCACCAACACCGGGCTCGGAGCTCTGCACCACATCCTCCAGGTGCACAGAGACAGCACCACAGCTGCTGAGATGGGCACAGATGTGACGGAGAGCTCCAGGCACCGCCGCCTTTCTGCTTAGGGCTTCACCTCCCTCACACTGCTTCCCCAGCGGGAACCACAGGGCTTGGACTTGGGGAACAAAGCTTAAGCTGCAAAAAAACCCCAAAACATCTACTTCTCACTCCCTCCAAACACAAACCCCGACCAAAACCGTCAGCGCTTGACAGCACCAACAGAATACCCACTGGGTACCAGATCCAGACAGGAACAGTCCAAGGGACGAACATCTTTCAGCTCCCTCTGTTCTCCCACAGTCGGGTACCGACTAGAGGATAACAGATCCTTCTTTACTGGCGGTCACTCTCCGAGCACCTATCGGCTGCACAAGAGCCAAAGGGCAGCAGGAGGAGGGACGCGTGCAGATGGACACTGCACTGCTAACACCTCTCCCCACGCCCACAGCACTCGGAACTTCCAGTGATGTCACAAGCAGAGGCACGGATCCCAGAGCCCGTGTCACACAGCAGGGTGGGGTCCACACCAAAAAGGCCGATTTTTAAGGCGTCGCTTCACCCGTTATTCATTCTCACTTCATACATGTGCGCCAACTGCACTCCTCCCCTTTCTCAACCTACCCAAGGCAACTAAGACCCCAGCCACAAAACCATCTAGTGGGGTTCTGGAGTGGTCCTGTTGCGTCCTGCCACAGACCAGGAAGTACAGGGGTGAACGTACCCTCACTCCACCATAAAAGGCCACCAGATTGGTCAGGCACGATCTGCCCTTGGTGAAGCCATGCTGGCTGTCTCCAATCACCTCTTGGTCTCGTATGTGCCTTAACATAGCTTCTAGGAGGATCCGCTCCATGATCTTCCCAGGCGCAGAGGTGAGGCTCACCAGCCTGCACTTCCCTGGGTCTTCCTTTCTCCCTTCCTTAAAAATGGGATTCTATAAAAACGTTTCCCTTTTTCCAGTCACCGGGGACTTCACCAGACAGCCGTGATTTTTCAAATGTGATGGAGAGCGGCTCGGCAACCACATCTCTTTCAGAACCCTGCGATGGATATCATCCGGCCCCATGCACTTAAACACGTTCCATTGCATGAGGAGGACTCGGAATAAATAGCAGAGCAGAGCATCAACCATCATTTATACGGACTCAGTCTTCACTTATGTAAAAAAATCTACAACTAATCTAGTGTAAGATAAAGTATGTGAGAAATTCATAAATCATTTCCACATTCAGGATGCAAATCTGGAACACACAGCAAGCGAGTGAGCCTGGTGCAATGCTATTTAACCAAGCTGAAAGGAAAATCTTGAAGATGAGTGACATTCCTAGCAGAAAACACAAAACGTTGGTACTCTCAGCTTCCTCCAGACTTGCTAAAACAGAGAGAAAGTGACAAAGAGGAGACCAAGATCAGGAGACGTGCTTAAATCCTAGCAGCAATTGCAGCACCGCATACAGCCCGCAGTTCAGGTAACAGGCTGAAGAGCTACACAGCGCAGTGTGAAAGCTGAATCTTCAAGTGCTTTTCTGCTCCCCACTGTACAGCAAAATGTGGAGCCAGCAACTTTTGTGAAGCTCATCTGAATATGTGTCCCATCTGATGCCACTGGCTTCAGCAGAGCTGACTGCTTCAGTCAGCCAAAACAATTCAATTATTTGGTATGGAAGCGCTTCAGTTCTGCTTACTATTTTCAGGCGCTGTTCAGATGCCAGCATGGACAAAAACATACTTATTTCCCGGAATCCCAAGCATGGCAATACTTTCCCAACAGAACCTCGCAGGTTTCCCACACAATACATCACAAGGAGGTGCTGCTCCCTAAAACTACAGCACGTGACTTCCCGACCAAACTTCACACTGCTAAGAAATGCCGGAACTCCATTCTGGCACAGAAGTAAGGTTACTTACAGATTTGGTTAATGCCCTCCATCTATTCATATGCGCTTTTTCTCCTGTCTGCTCAGTTTTATACTTAACATCCCCAGCTGCACTGAACTGTGCATGAGAATTTAAACCTTAGATGTTATTTTAACAAAATATCTCTCACCCTATAAGGCACTGTCAGAACAATTAGAAAAGAGAAATAAGCATGAAGGGCAATGAACTCTTACCCATCATGAGCAGAGGGTGAGAAATCTTACTCAGAATCCACAGCGACAAACGATGCTTCCATGCTGGTTGCATTCCATGCCACAGAACGGCCAAAAACTCTGTCAGCCAAGCACTGGCAGAAAACAAGAGTACACATTTTTAGCATTTCATCATGAATTAAAAGTATAGAATCAGTTTACTATTAAAATTAAAAGGGAAAAAAACATCTCTATACACATATGCGTTAGTCTCCAAGTTGCCAGGCATCAGTTTTCCATGGAGAAAAGCCACATTTGACATCTGCTTCTAGAGCAGAGGCCATCTGACTTTTAAAAACTATTCTCTCGAGGATAAAGACGTTCCACTGCTTTGTCCTTACAAAGCACTTCATGACACGCATCGAATTTGGCAGCCAGCAGAAGAAAAGACCTTCTAAGGGCGGCCTTCAGTATCTCAAGGGGAGCTGCAAAAAGCAAGGGACAAATCTTTAGAATGGGCATAAGGATGAAGTCCATTACAATAAGCCTGGCACTGGAACAGGGACACTGAGGGCGTCTGACACTGACTCCCAGCGTCACTGAGGAGGTGGGACAGGGGCTGTGGCTGCTGTCCCCAGGGGACCCACATCCTGCCCTGGGCTGCTGCCAGCCCTCCTCCTGCCCAAAGTCCTGGGGCACAAACCCTGCACGGACAAGGCTTCTCCATGGTCAGTGACACCTTCCGACATCCTCTGCTGACCAATGGAGTCCTCTGAAGAAGAAGGAAGACCCTGATGATCGCTGACATCCTCCAGTGATCAACAAAGCCCTCAGCAAAGCCACGCTCTGTGTGTCTGCGTCCTTGTCCCCATGCTCAGCAGGAACCGCTCACATCTGTCCCTGCCTGGCAGAGGCCACCCCTAGGTGCTGGGAGGGGTCCCCAGCTCCGTGCCCCGCACCCCACGTCCTGCACCCATGGATCTCTCCATCTCCTCTGTGCTGCCTCCTCCAAAATCCTACAGGACGGAGCACCCCATGCTGCCAAGCAGCCCCAATGCCCTCCCTCTGCTCTCTCCCAATTCCTCCTTCCAGTTCCTGCCAAACCCTTCACCCTCTCTTCCACCTCCATGGCCACGATGTCCCCAGGTCACTCTCCTTTTACCCCCTCCCTTATCGCAGCCAATTGCCCCTCACTGGATCTGCTTCAGCCCTCCTCCTGCAGTCCCACTTCCCCTCCATCACTACCCAACGTGGAGTCCCCAGATCCCCTCTTAAGCACATCAAATCTCCTCTCTGATGACCGATGACACCCTCTGCTGATTAATGAAGCCCTCTGAGCGTCAGTGAAGATCTCTGCTGATCAGTGGAGCCCTCTGACAGCCAACAAAGCCTTCAGATGACCACTGACAATCTCTGATGGCAAACTGAGCCCCCGATGATCGGCGGGCTGCTGCTTCAAGTGCAGGAAAGGGAAGTGAAGGGTGAGAAAGAATATTTAGACATCATTTGGTTGAAATCACCATGGAATGAAGATTTCTACGGATTTCATCAAGCACGGAATTTGGAGAGAAGTGTGACTGCATGACGCTTGAGTGTGCTGCCCGGTGCCTGGGACCGGCTGCCTGACTCTAAGTCCTCCTCCAAGAGGCTCGGCTGCTCCACAGCGATGCCCACCCGCTCCTCGTGGAGGTGCTGCCGTGCGGGCACTTGGACTCCGCTTGGGGTGGGCTGCACTGCCGTCCCCCGCGTCCCCGCCCTCCTCGTCCTCTGCCCGCAGCCCCAGCCGGGGCCATGCGGGACGCGCGCGGAGATGACGCAATAACGGCGCGACCGCGGACGGAACGGACCCCGCGCGGAGCGCCCGCCCCATCCGGCGGACCGACCAATGGCAGCGCGGAGGAGGGGGGCGAGCGCGGGCTCTCCTCCAATGGCGTCCGCGGATGGGGGGTCGGCACGGTGGTGCCGGCGCGACGGCGGAGCCGCGGGACTCCGCGCGGGGAAAGAGGCGCTTAGCCGCCCCGCCGCCCCGCGTCCTCGGCGCCGCCCGCCCCGTGCAGGGAGGTGCGGAGAGGACGGAGCCAGGCTGCACCCGGCGGTGCCCAGCAGCGGGACCGGAGGCTCTGGGCACACGCTGCAGCGCAGCAGGTTTCCCCGCAGTGCTGCCACGGCCGCGCTGCTTCCCCGTTTTGGGTTACACTACTGGATATGTATGGCTGTGCTAATAAATGTATCGAGACCCCACTGTGGCGCGCCAGCTAGGAGGAGCGATCCCCCTTGCGCCCGGCGTGTGGCGCAGTGCTGAAAGAAAGACGTATCTGCTCTCATAACCTGACGTGGGTTCGAGAGTTTGATTCCGCAGATCAGTTGGGCACCCCAGATGGGACACTCTCTGTTCGGCTGCAGGACCAGTTGAGGAAGGAGACGCCTTTGGCGCGCCCCGAGAATTCTTGGAAGGACTCCCCCTGCTCATCCGATCGCTGCGGGGACAGACGGGGACCATGTGGAAGCGGACCAGGTACGTTTAAAGGGAAGGCTCCGTAAGGCGTACGCAGGAGCCTGGGACTCCGTCAGACGTGAGGGGCCGCCCCACGCCGGAGGGCTTTACCCTGCGGGTGGACTGGTGCAGGGGTGCGGGGCGGGAAGGTAATGACCGGGAAGGACAGGTGCCTTGTAGCACTGTGTCTGATTGCAGGGACTGTGGGTTCGAGCCCCACCTCTGGCTAGCACTTGTAAGCTAGGCTAGCGCTTGGGCACTGGTAATCACGAGTTCATAACCATCTAGAACTCAGGTCAATTCCAGGGATTGTGGGTTAGAGTCCCACCCGAGTTAGCGAGGTACAGTGCTGACAGCTGTCAAGAGATAACCTGCATCACTGCAGCCGCGGCAGTAGGAATAATGATCTGAGCTGTTGTTGCCATCTGCAAATGTCCAGCGCTGTGTGTTTGAACAACTGCTATTGGTTTATTCGGGATATGCTTTTGAACATCTGAACTGAGGTGGTACCTGAGCTGGCAGAGCTAAGTGTTGGAATGAATGTGGTGTGACTGAGATGGAGCTAAGTTACGGAGCGAAAGAGGAAGCTGTTCATCGTTTTGTCTGTTGTATGTATTATTTTTGACAAATTGGGAAAAAGGGAATCTGAATGGCTTTAGTGTAAATGGAAATGAACTTTTTTGGAGTGGGATGAATATGGGAACTTATAGGTCATAAATTACAGTGACAGACCGGAAGAAAGGTGTATATTTCACATATTATTCTGTCCAGATTATGTTATGCTCTCATTAGCTTGTAAAGAGATATATTAAGGGGATCGGTGTTACTTGTGCCCAGAGTGTGGGCAACAGTGGTGAAACCAGTTTTGGGGATCGTTTTGGGTAAACTTTAGGGTAAAAGGAGTAATTTGTGGAAACGTTCATGAACTAATAAAACAACAAAATAGTGCTATGGGAGGGTCACAAGGGAAATAAAGAAAGAAAGAAAGGAAGAAAGAAATTTTAAAAAAGCACCTCTCAGGTATATGTTGGCACATTGGAAGGATGTTGCAGGAGGGCCAGGGGGAATATTAAATAAGGAACTAGGAACATAAATGGAATAACGGGACCAGTTTTATCATCGAGTACCCTAATCATGAGAGACCAAGTGCTGGGTGTTTGTGGAAGTTGAAGAACTGTACGGTTTGATTCGTGGATTTTGAAAGTATGGGGCAAACTTTTGATGGTGTAAGAAAGGTAATTGTTACTGGTGTACAGAAGTAGAATGAAGGGTAAGTGGAAGTGTAACGGGGGGTATGACAAAGGAAGAAGGGTTAAAGAGAAAGCGAGTTTAGCTGTGCTGGCGTGAGAGCAACCCCCTCACACCGTTCCTGCAAGCAGAACTTGGTGTGAGAGAGTGAGCTGCAGACGGAGACTGCTGCTGCAAACAGCATGACTTGCACAGGGGGAGGTGGAGAGGACAGGGCGCTGGAAGTGAGACTCGCCTCTGCAGAGAGAATGGCAGTGTTGGTAGTGGGAGCCTCTGGAGAGGAGGAGGTAGATTGGGAATAACAGCAGCTGTCAGTGTGGCGGCACTGGAGTAGGGCCGTAGGAGGCAGGGATCCACTGAGAGAGATGGGGGGGGCTGGAAGAGCCCAGAGAGGGCTCTGCCCCATTGGAATGAAAGGAATGTGTAAATTACTGAGAAAGAGGGAACAATTTCTGGTTGCATAGATGCAGGATGGGAATTTGGGGAGTCTACCCTAGCAGATCCATTGCTTAAATTACAGCTAAGGGAGCAGGATAAAGAAGTTTATCTTTCGGAGGATACGGGTACCACTTACCGCCCGTGGATGATTTGGTAGCAACAGAAGGAGCTAATGCCCAATAAGAAAATGCTTACTTTTTGGGTTTAATTAAATACAGTGTGAGAAAACAAGTAGGAATACATGGATTCTTGTGCATGCCAGGTTACTCCGGCTAGAAATTAAATAAAACTGGAGCTAAGGATCAAACAGTATTAATTGATTGAGAATTTTAAGTCTGCCTTTAACACAAGCAGGGAAAAACAAGGTGATAGCCCCAGAAGTTACAGAAATCTTGAATAAGATACGCTTAGGAGAGTGGGTATCAGGGATATCTGGCAGAGCCAAAAATGCAGCCCTAAGCAGAAGTTCAGTTTTAAGTTCTTGCTTAAAAGCAAGAGTTAGCCTAGTCAGAGTAAAGCAGTGCCCTTTGAGGATATGTGACTGTAGAAGGAGCAAAGATAATTTTTGAAGTTTGGATTACTAATTGAATATGAATGCAAACACAGTACTCCAAACCTGCCAAAATAAAGAAAGAAATAAATATAAATGGAAAGCAAGTGCTATAGTTTGGAACAAGACTTGAGGGTAAGCAACGGAACAGTTGAATGTATACACTAAGTGGTGAAAAATCCACACATTTACTAACCATGTTAAGGAATGAGTAACTGGAGTTTACCTTCTGGACTTGAAGGATGTCTTTTCTGCCTGGTTTGGCCAAAGGAAGCCTAAGGTTATTTGACTTTGAATAGAAAAGCCCCAGTATGGGGAGAAAAGACTCAGTTGATCTGAACAGTGTTACCCAGGGGTGTGAGAACAGCTCAATGATTTTTGAGAGCTGGTCAACTCGCGAACCTGAGACTTGGGTTCCTCCGTCCCAGAGTGGAGCCTTACTGCAGTACGTGGACGGCACAGAAAACAAGAGGACTGCGTGCAACGGAGTGTGAGTTTGCCGAATTTCTTGTTTAAATGATGATCACGTTCCCCAACAGAAAGACATATCTGGGGTCTGAGATTACAGCTGGACTTCAAACCTTAAGGACTGTCAGGAAAGAAGCCACCTGCCAAAGCCCTGAGCCACAAACTGCCAAAGAACTCCGTACGTTCCCAGGAGTGACAGGATGGTGCCAACCATGGATACACCGCTACGGACTGTTGGTAAAGCCCAAATATTATAAGAAATGGGGAGGCAAGGTGGGCATTCCCTAAACTGAAATAAGAACTCATGAAGGCCCTCTGCTTTGCGGCTATCAGAAATGTTCACATAAAAAAAACAAGGAATGGCCCTGGGAGTCCTTCCCAGAACCTTGGGCAGTGGCACACTTCTCCAACAGCTTGATGAAGTGAGAAAGGGGTGGCCGGGATGCTTGAGGGCAGTGGCTCCACTGGTACTCGAGTGTTGCTAGGCCAAAGAAGAGCAGTTTTGATATCTCATACAGTGCCTGCTGTATTGGAGGTAAAAGGGGAGGCTTGGGCTCTCACTCCAAAGGTTCCTGAAATCCCAGGCCGTCCTGGTAGAGCAGGATGATTTAGAAGTAATTGCAACCCAGTATCTTCCTTAGTGGAACTCCTGGATAACCAGTATTTTGTAACAGCTTTGGAACAACTGAAGCTGCATCTTCCAGCAGCCGGACCTGAAGGACCAACCCTTAGAAGATGCAGAAGACACGTGGCTCACCGACGGTAGCAGTTTTGTCAGACAAGGAAACTGTAAGGCAAGATACGCAATAGCTGCAACTGACAAGGTAATCGAAGCACGACCGTTACTTGAGGGGACTTTCCCTCAAAGGGCTGAAGTAAATGCTTGGACAGGAGCCTTAATTACATGGACAGATGCTAATTATGTATTTGGGATGCTACACATCGCAGTACCATCTGAAAAGAGCAAGGACTGCACACACAAGGAAAAGAGCATGATGTAAACCTACCAAGGAGCGTGGCTGTTACGCATTGTAAAGTACATCAGAAAGGTAACACTGTACAGGAAACTGGAAATCAGATGATGGGTCAGGTGGCAGAACAGGCAGTTGAAGAGGGCTTTAATTCCAGACAGTGAACTTAAAATCTTCAAACCTGAGTCAGAACCTGTAAAATCTAGAGAGGATAGGAGTATAATTAATGATTTAGAAGGGAGGGCAACAGTGGCAAATTGATTTCTCGGAACTCCCAAGAAAAGGGGGGTATCCTCGTATGTGGGTACTAACGGATACTTCTTCTACAGAATCCAGAGGCATTCCAGAGGCACGTAGAACTAATAAGGCACAGGGAGTAATTTAAGTATTGTTGGGTTATTCCAAGATACTGTGGAACTACTTGGTCTGTCAAGGAAAACGCAACACTGAAAGTTAAACTCATAAAGAAAAGATGAATTGGTTACTAATTTGCTTTATTTTAGGGTGATGTCTCTGGCAAGTTGATGTTGTGTGCTGTTACGTTTCGTATTTTGGTTGCAATAGTACTATGTTTTGTGTGATATTTATTGATTCGTTATTGCTAAATGTGTGATTGTCACTCTTCTCCCTTCTATGGGGATCAACCTTACATCCCTATACGTAACAATGGTCTCTATTAAAGTAATAACACTCTCATTAGTGGGCAGAATATCATAATGGAAGTAATATAATGAGTAGGTGTCATTCGGGTAAAGGTTTCTGGAGATGGGAGAGCTCAAACTCCCACCAGCATAGTGAGAACTATTTGGAGCCTGGGTTAAAAGGGTAAATAACCCCTTGGTAAGGTATAATACTGGATACTTTGAGAGCCCTTACCCAGTATTAGGAGTAGCTCAGCTGGTTTGGATTAAACAGGACCCCCCACATGCGAAGACATGGACGACCTGAAAGCTACCAAGACAAAGGAGGTAACGCACAACACGGACAAAGAGCTTACTAAACTTTCTCAGACTGAAAGGCTGTCGATTTTTCTCCACAGAAAGCCCAGGTGGCACAGCCACAAGTAACCCATTTGCACTATGGAATCACTTTGGGATGCGGAACTCTAGGAAACAGCGAGGGGACTCTGGACTGAGCTCCAGACTGTCCTAGAGATAACGAGGTGGTGCTGCCTACAACTATGGAATACTGGTAAAGCCCCTCTACGCCCTTTTGAAATCCTGTCCAAAGGTCCTCATAGAGGTTGAGGAAGAGAAATAAGAGGAAGGTTTAAATGTGGCAATTAGACACGGGCTCAGTTGTTAGTGCAGAACAAAAACCTTTTATTGTGGGCGATGAACGTGAACAACGTGCACTTGGTTAAGTGCCTTATTAAATGTAACTCTCTTGCCACGGTTGGCAGTGCTGGATCTTCCCTCCTGCCCTGAAGTAGATGGCTCTGGATCTGGACTTGTCCCTCTGGTGCCGTCTGTGTTGGTGTGAGTGTTGGACCGAGGCACCGGCTCAGTCAGCCTTATCTCAAGTCCGTGGTACCTCAGCGGCGTCTCCCAATAGTAGGCGATGAGGTCGTACAAGCTGTCAAATACTTGGGTGTCAGTCGCAAAAAACTTCTGACTGGCAGCGTCCTGTCGCCAGTGTATGCGGCAATGCCGCACCTTCCCACAGTGCCAGAAGGACAGAACGTAGTCCCCAATGTAAATCTCACTTTCCCTGACCAGGAAGGAGCCGTCAGGGGCCTCCATCCCGGAACAGTACTCCATCAGCAGCCGCTCAGCGATGTGCCGCCCGCTGTGCCCTGCCCCCAGCTTGCCGTGGAACCATTCCTGCGCGAGATGCAGCTCCATGTTGGCACTCACCTCCTTCTGTGCAGGTCGTCTCCTCTGTCTGCTCTCTGTCAGGGGAATGTAAAGCGGATTCCATGTACAGTTGAGGGGTTCTTCTGTCAGTTGGCAATCCACCGCCTGCTCCTTTGTCGTACACGCACCCATGGTTCCTTGCCGCTCGCCTCCACAAAGCCACCTCAGTTTTGGCAGGGCTTGCCAATGGTCTTTATAGCATCTGCTGACGCCCATGCCAGCTGTACGAGCTAGACGTCTCGTGATCATGTCAAGAGGGTCTGTCTGGCATGGACAGTTACAATCTTTAACTTGCTTATACCTCTGGAGGTCTTTTGCTAGTCCGATCTAGAATATCTTTATTTTCTCCGCATAGTATACAGGTGAAAGGAATTGGGGTAAGGGATGAAGGGGCACGGTGGTGAGGATCTTAGGGGAGGGGATAGAAGAGGAGTCCAGCGATGAGAATGGGGGAAGCGGAGGCAGGGGGCGGGCATAGGGTAAGCCCAGGGGTCAGACTGAGGGACTTGGTGGGTCGTGGGCGACCCGTGGCGGGGATGGGCTGTGAGGGGGGGGAGGGAAGGCAGTGAAATACCGAGCGGGGTGGGGGAGGGGCGGGGGGCACAGGGCACCTCCCGCCGCCTAGCGGAGGCTCTGAGCACCGCAGAGGCCCCACGGGGCCAAGAGTGAGCGGCCCCAGCCCCGGTGCCGCCCCAAACACCCACTCTTAGAAGCCGCCGCGGCGCTGGAGCAGCGCGGCGACCTGCTCCGCTTCCGCATGGCCGGGTCCTTTGGTCGCAGCGTGATGACGCCACTCAGCGGGGACTGCGCGTCGCTGGAGCAACGGACGCCGCGAGGTGCCGTCGCTATGGAGACGCAGCCACGCATGCGCTGTCGCTGCGGGAACGGCTTCCGGCGCCGCCGTGAGGGAGGGCGTGCTGTCGCCTGGCAGCGCAGCCCGCACGAACGGCTTGAAGTCCGAGTGGGGTTCGAGGGGCAGCGGTGGGACGGAGAGCGTTCAGGGATCTCCTGGGGAGGTGGGGGGGCGACTGGAAGAGGGCAGAGCTCCGGCGATGGCTGCTGTGGGGTGGGAGATCCACAGGGAGATGCAGCGAAACGATGGGATGTGGGCAGAACGTGGAGATATGGGAAAAGGAAGACGGGGATCTGGCCAACACCGTGAGAGCCAGGCTGATAGGGAGGGAGGGAGCAAGGAGGGAAGGAGTGGGAAGGAAGGGAGGGAGGGAAAGGGAGGAAGGAAATGGAAAAAGGAGGAAAAAAAAGAGAAGGGAGGGGAAGAAGGGGGAGGGGAAAGGGAGAATGGGGAGTGGGAAGGAGAGGGGATTTGGGGGAGGGGATGCAGGGAGGGAGGGAACGGAAAGGGAAGGGGAAGGGAAAGAGAAAGGGAAAGGGAAGAGGAGAGGGGCAGAAGGGAAGAAGAGAAGGGAAAGAGTCCAAAGCTTGGCCTGAGTGGTATTGCAACATAGAAAGGCTTCAGGTATGTTGTTATGTGCACAAGGAGGAGTTCGTGCAGCAGTAAATGATGTTGTTGTGTTCATGTAGATCAGAGGGGTAGAATTGAAGCAGCTATAGATAAGATATGGCACCAAACTGAAATACTGCTCAACATAAGACATTGTGAGCTGAAACCAACATGACTTCCTGGCTTCCCAAATTGCAGTGGCTAAAGAAGTTATTTGTGGGGATAGTGTGTGCAATCGCTGTACGTATGCGTCCTTCCTTGTAGCGTGATTGGATGTTGGAGATGCGTCTCTAAGCAAGAAAGGTCGAAGGTGGTGAGTTTTAGGATGTGAACATCGTTATCCTTGAAGGAAAAGCAGGGATTGATGTGGGCTGCTCTGTTCAGCAGCAGGGCTTAGCACATCAGTTTAAGAACCAACGTATGAATTTAGCAAAAAGAACCCACGAGTGATAGTTCTCAAACTTTCGTTTCAGCTTTAGTGGGAGAGCAGCCTCGTTCCTCCTCAGTAACTTTGTGTGGGCACACAAAGGAATACTTGTACCTTCTGCCTCAATGGTTGTGCCTCACAAGCTTCTCACCACTTCTGCTTTTGTCTTCTCTGTATCCGCTAATACCTCTTTTGCTTTTCTCCTTGTCTGCTTGTTACCTCCATCCTTTTTCTTCTTCTCTGCACTTCTTTCTTTCTTGTCTGTTCTCCTTCTGCTCTTATCCTTCTCATCGTCTCTTACCTTTATTCTCTCCACTCCTGCTCATCTCTTTTGCTGTCTTGCCTGTATCCTATCGTGCTTTTCATCTTCTGCTCTTCTTCCTTACCCGTATCCTTAATTTTATCCTCTCTTCTGCTCTTTTTCACTTCTTCTCAGTGTCCAACGTCTGCATCACACCTCTGTCCGAATTAGTTTTGCGGTGGAAAAAGGTACCAAGGTAGATAGATTTGTACAAGAGAACCTCTTACACTGTGCCTGAAAGGTGATCCAAAGGAGCCCTCAGGTACCAAGACCACAAAGGAGCTGCTTTCGAGTGGAGAATTTTCCAGAGTTCCTTCCTGTCGTTGCTTGGAGGAACTGAGGTTTTTATCCTTGTATCTCTGCAGAAAGGAGGGCGTTTGTGGAGAGGTGCTCAGGTGAAATTGCCCTCCTTGCACAAACAGCCTGTTTGTGTGCATGTGATGCACGGTGAAGAGAAGCCTGCTGTTCTGTGAGTAAGCCTGCTAAAAGGAAGTAATGGTTCTGGCCTTTTTGGCAAGTCTCTGGAGTGAGATCTTTGGACAGGCTGGTTGATTTGCAGGGGAAATGCCATTTCAGTTGTTTGTTGCCACGCTTGGTTGGTGCTTGTATGAACAATATGTATCATCTAGACAAGCAGTGCTCTAGCACCAGGGAAGGGAAAAACCTCATGTACGGATGTACATGTCTTCTCCACGAGCCTTATGTTGTCTTTTCACAGAGTCTCTAAATGCCTGTGGAAATTACGGGGGGGGGGGGTGGGGGTGGGGGTGGGCAAAGGGGGGGACAGTGGGGGGCGGGTGGGGGATGGGGAAGAGATGAGGGGCAATTTGTGTGCATCCTGCGCCCATGGAGCAGGTATCAGCTACTAAGAGCTACGTGCCCTTCATGGCGTCATGGACTTGTTTTCTTTCCTTGTTTGGTTCTGCAGGTGCATTTTAAGTAACTGTGACCTCTGCTGCGACGACAGGTGTCCTAGAGAGAGCCCCGCTGTGCCCTTTTTGTTCAGGCTCTTCTATTCTCTCCTGAGATTAAAAGGGACTTGAAAAACCCAGAAGTACAACTTGTACTTTCAGGCTGCTGTTCCAGCCTGTCAAGTGGGGATCATGCAGTGTGACCACCATTGGGGCAGGAGGGAAGTAGCTAAGAAATTCATCTGCCTACATGAAGTAGCATGTCTTGAAAATGGTCATGGCCATGATATAATTAGCAAGGTCATAGAATCCTAGAATAATGGTCATGGCCATGATATAATTAGCAAGGTCATAGAATCCTAGAATCACCAAGGTTGGAAAAGACCTACAAGATCATCCAGTCCAACCATCCACCTGTCACCAACAGTTCTCACTAATCTGTGTCCCTCAACACGATGCCTAAATGTTCCTCAGGAGCATGCAGTATTTCAGAATGACAGAAGGTCTGGAGCCAGGATCCACCCCTTCCCAGCCCTCATTGAAGGGCTGGCATTGGAGGCAAGGGGATCTCACTGGAGATCCCTGCCTACCTGAGTCCTTCTGAAGGTAAGCAGCTCCTTGCCTTGATTTCTCTGCCCACGGCTGTTGCCTTTGAGCAGATCCTCCCTTGCTGCAGTCTTGGACCTTGCTCCTCTGCTGTCATGGCTGTGCTTTCCATCGCGCCTGGCCTCATTGGGCTCAACTCTGCTTACGGATAGATGTGTTGGTTTGGTTGGGGTGGTTGCAGTAGCTAATGGCAAAACCCTTTCCTGAGTGCAACTAAGGAGATAAGTGAGAAAACAAGAGAGTCTCGAGAGGAAAGAGTGACTGATGGCAGTGCTGTCCTGGAAGCTACAGTGGAAGCAGTAGAGAGGCCGATAGTGGCTGTTGGTGTCAGTAGAGCGATACGAGTCTGTGTGTAAATAGTGGTTCTTAGAGCTGTGTTAATTCCTTGAAGAGGCCTAGCATTGTGGAGGTACTTGTACTGACAGTTGTTTGACTCAGGAATGAAGTGTGTTTCCCAGTCCGTGATAACCTGATAGCGTTGTGTTTGCTCGTGCAGCTGTGCTCTGTGCATTGTGGAGCTGTCAGACAGATGTGAGTTCATTTGCCACTCTCTCAGCAGGAATGAGACTAGTAAGACTTTCTGTAAGTGCATTTTAGTTGAAAAAATGATTTTGTTTTGGTTGTAGAAATGCTGTATTTGAGGGATTTTGGTGGACGTGGGCTAACAGGACAAGGATTCTATTGGCAACTGCTTTCTGTGACACGGAAAGGCTATACTTTGTTTTAGGGATGGAGCATGGGATTCGATTGACTCTTACTGAGAAAGGGGAAGTGGAAAGCCTCTGTGGGTAGGAATGTTTTGTGAGCTGTAGTTTGGGTACCTTCATCTAAGTAGGACTGTATGAAAGGGTGCGTGTGATGGAGGAGAGGGGAAAGTGCCTTGTGTGGACTGTAAGAAAGGCATAATGTTACAGAGTGGAGAGGCAGATTTAAGAAACTCTGCTTGAAAACTTGAAGGTAGTGGCCGGCTGTGCTAAAATCCTCTTCCGAAGAGTTGCTCTTCAAGTATTTCCTGCTTTCTCTCTGTGAGAAACTGACGCCAGTGGCCTTCCACTGCAGCGTGGCCGTGCGGAAGGGCTGGGGAACAAGACAGAGCTAGAGAAGGCAACAAAGAGAGCTACAGATACACAGCAGGCACCTGGACTTGATGCACTGTCTTTCTGCCCAGGCTTTCTGTTTGTTCATTCTTAGGACAGTTGTCTGCAGTTTGCATCCCAGCTTTCTCCCAAGCCCTCGCTGCACAAAAATGCAAGCAATCAGAGGAAGAGAAGGAAAAAGCAGAGGAGTGGGCTTCTGAGAAAAGAGCTGAGGGGGAGCATGAGGAGCTTGAGGCAGTGTTTCAGAAAAGTAGTGCTTTCACTTAGGATTGTCTGAGATTTCCTTGCCCTGGGTTATGACTGTGTGTAGCTATTGGTTTCTTGGTTCCTGTGTATCCGTTGGTACACAGATTAGTGTGTTGAAAAGACAGCTGAGAGTGCAGGACATGGCAATGTATTTCTCCTGGCCAAATGTGCTGAAGTACTGGAAGGATTGTGAGAAAGACCAGAGAGAATTCAAGCTGGACATGAGGAAGTATTACTTTTCGGAAAGGGTGATCAGGCACTGGAATGGACTGCCAGGGAGTTGGTGGAGTCACCGACCCTGGGGGTGTTCAGGGAAAGGCTGGATGTTGTGTTGAGAGACGTGGTTTAGTGGGAGCTGTTGGTAAGAGGTGAACGGTTGGATGAGCTTTGAGGTCTTTTCCAGCCTTGGTGATTCTATGATTCTGTGAAAGAGAAGAGAACCTGGATTTCTCTTGTACAATAAGTCTGTATCAGTTCTGTCTCCTTTCACTGAGCTGAACGCACGGTGTGTGTGAAGCCTTCTGATGGGAAACCCACGGTCCCCACAAAGTGGGCGCAGAAGCAAAATGAAGCTGAGATGCATCTGTGTGCTGAGTCCTACTGCTACTGCGGAAAAAGCAGCTTTGGTAAGAATAGTGGTGAAGGTAGGAGAGGGTATGGAAAGTTTAGACTGCTCTTAGAGGCAAGGTGGAAGTTTCAAATGTTCTGCAGGTTCAGCACGCTCCTACTGCTTTGGTGTGCCGCACCTGCCTGCCCTGTCAGCACTACGTCAGGCTTTTTTTCCTTTTTAAGGTAGGAAAACCAATTTCTGGCTAGGAGAAGAAATGCAACAATCTTCCCTGCGTTGCTCCTTGGGTAATGGGTGCTGATGAGCAGTCCTTGTGTTAGAATAATGTATTGTCATTTGATCTTTCTGTCTTTGCACTCTTTTAGCAACTGGGGTGTTGATTCAGCTGCACGTATCTCCTGTTTTGTCCTTCTGCTTTGTGTAAAAGAAATGTCCAGTATGCAATCTCTGTGTGAAGTTTTCTTAAAGTATTTTACTTTATTTGCCACTAGGAAGCAATGGCTTGGAAGTAACGGCGGTGTCACCCAGCAGCCCACACAGTGACCTGATGTCTCATTGCTTGGGTCTGTTAAAAACCACCCTGATGAGAAAAGAACGTTTGCATGGATTCTGTGCTGTGTCAGTACAGCCCTGAGGAGCGGTGTGGACATGGCATGGCAGGGAGAAGGCAGTTCCCTTCTGATGGGAAAGTGCCCGAGGAATGTTGACATCCCATGTGTTGGTACCCCATGCCCGCTCCATGCCCGTGCCCCACGCGCTTCTGAACGGGCAGCTCAGCTTTTGTGTCATTCAGCCACCTGTGGCAGAGCAGACCAGGCTTTCTGCAGGCGTAGGCAATCATCCCATCACTTTCTGCCTTATAAGGAATAGAAAACCTTTTCATTTTGGAGTCCTACTTACTGGAGCTTAACCATCTCCAGTGAAGCAGATGTCATTTTTCTCGTATCCTTCAATTCTGAGTCCATATTCTCCCAAAAGCAAAAGAGTTTGGAGGTAACCACGAACAGTTAAGTGGGCGACTTCAGTATTTATTTCTGATCGTGACAGTTCCTTCAGTTTAGAGGTCACAATCGATGTACTGTGCCTGTTTTAATTCTGACCAAGGTTGTAGTTGTAGCTGACTTCCCAAGGCTGCAATACGTGGTGGTGACACAGCTGTGGGCTTCTGCACTGGCATTAATCCCACGTTTCCTTTCTGTGCCTTGCAGGTCAGCTTGTGCTGGAAGTGGTCGGCATCAGAGTGTGAGTGAAGGTCAGCGCAGGAGCAGCTGTTGATTGGGGGGAGGAAGTCCAGGCTAACAGACTCTGCAGCATCTCCCAGTACAGTACCAGAGGAGGCGAGAATGATGTCAGGGGGCTCCCCAGCGGGAAAGTGGCTCATCCAAATGCTTGCTGACAGTTTGAAAGCCCAAACCCTTCCAGCCTCCACCCTGTAGGCAGCTCTGAGGCAGCATCTCCTTTGTCCGACTGTGCAGCACCTGAGCAAGAGGGTGACCTGAGCTGGCTGCACAAGAGTCATCTTAACTTCTTTGTTATTTTACTTCAGATAACCCCATTGGGTGACCCTGCAGTTGGTTTCTTAAAATTTGGATGTAGGAGATGACCTTTACTTATGATGAGGGCCCAGAAGTGCTGTGCGCACTCTCAGAGGTCACAACGGTTGCTGGGGTGGGAGCGTTTGTCCCACAGCTGGTGAGCAGAGCTGGTGCTGCACGCAGAGACTGGGCTCTGGACCTTTCTTGGGAGAGATCACCCCGTGAGAGCACCGGAAGCACTGCTGTGGCGTGTGCGTGAGCTGGGCACAGCTCACGTTGAGCAGGCCGAGCCGGTGAACTGGGTTTGGTGCTGGGTGGCTGCTGGGAGGTGTCTCAGCAGAAAAGCCGGGCTGGGTGGGCCTGCTGTGTCAGCCCTTGTCCCAGCTGGTGGTGAGAGCAGGGAGAGGCTGATGGGTGCTGCCCACTGTCCCTGCTGCTCTTACCGTGTGGTACAGCAGTGCTGTGGCATGTGAGCTGGGAGGGACAAGGACAGCCGCTGAGCCTGACTAAGGCAGAGCTGAGGTTTGTGGAACACGTGGGTCATGCCAGTGTAGCTACTGCAGCTGCAGTAGGAGTGGAAGACAGGGAGTTTTCTCCATGACAGCAACACCAGCTATTTGCTTCAAGGTGTATAACTATTGAGGAGATGGCCCTTGCTGTCAGAATTCGTGGCAGCTGTACAGAATCTAGATGTATTTTGGGGATGGTTCTTGTAACCAGCTGATTTCGAGACACTGTCGTACTTGAGAGTCTAAAGTGCACGATAGAAGAAAGCTGGGAAAATGCTTCTCCTCGCTGTTTTTCACTTGCAGATTCTTTCTTTATGGATCCTTTCCATAAGGAGATTTTCGGGATTGAGGCAGTTGAAGAAAGAGTGAAGCCAGGGGGCAGTCCCTGTGGAGAGGACCTCAGGAACTGAGCTTCCCCACCACTGTCTCAGCAAGGAGACAGACGCAGTTCCCATTCCTGCTCTGCACATGGAAAGGTATGGCTGGGTTTCTTCGTGTGGGTTTTCTTCCTTTCTCTCACTTTGAAGGGGAAAAGTTGGAGCAGGGGAAGCCTTACTGGTCCTTTGTTACTTGCATAACTGGTTGGATTCTGCATGTGCTGTAATGTCCTGGACAGCAGAGCCAGGCTCCTTAACCTGCTGGGGCAGGGTGGGAGCCGAGAGTGGGCACTGCCCTCCTGCCAGCTGCACCTGGGTATGGTTTGCCAGGCCCCTGCTGCCCTGGATTTCACCTGAGAGGTTTGTTCTAGCTGCCTGCAGTAGTAAAAGATAGGGAAGAAATGGAAGTCAAGAGCTAAGGCTCTACACGGTAACTTTGCATGGATTGAACTGTGGCACCTGAAGACACAGGTCCATTCCTGAATAATGCTGGCATTTTGCAGGTGTGTTGGTTTAACCCCTGAACTGATGTCTGTGAGCACCTGTCTTCTCCACCTGAACAGTAAGAAAGCTGGATATGCCCAGGAGTTGCAGCAGTTGCTGTGAATACTTGAGGAAGACTGTGAAGCAAAACAGACCTGGCTGGCCTGAAAGGGTCAAACAGGGAACACGCGGCCCCTCCTGAAAGGGAAGGGCTGCCATGTGAAACTGGCAAGCATAAGTTACAGCTTCTTCGTTCCGTGACCAAGAGCAGAACATGTTCTGTGAATAGAACACCTTCTAATCACTGTACTGATCATAATCCACTAAAGAGCTAATTAAATAATGATGTATTGCTGTCAGCTGCATGAATGTTATCTGATTTAAGTATTGTATACTCCTGTAACTAAAAGATATAACAAGCCTGTAACAGCAATAAAGATTGCTTTTGCGCCACCAGAGCCTTAAGCCCGTCTGTCCCGGGCATCTTGAGCTGGTCTCCGTCAAATACTCTCCCAAATGTTTGTTTCTTTTAGTGGTAACTAACGGCTCAGCACTGTGATCTCCTGTCTCTGGCACGATCTGGAATGCTGCATCTCTTTGCAGAGGTTGGGTGCCTGTTTCTGTGGACTCATGAGCACTCACAGAGGTCACAACTGCTGCAGGGGTGGGAGCGTACCACAGCTGGTATTTCCAGAGAGCCTCTAAATGCCTGTAGAAATCACAGGAATTTCTCCTTTGCATTTCTTTTCTTTGCTTAGCTTTTTAGTCATTATTGTCATATATTTCTTCTTTCCTTTGAGAAATTTGGGATGGCAGTTTCTTGTTTTTTACTGTCTTTGAATCAATTGTTTTGCCATGCTATTGCAATCTATGTCTTGGCTTTTTCAATGCTATTCCTTTGGTATGCCACCTAGTTCTTGTTGGGCTTTTTCCCCTTTCCATTTTCACTTTCTTTACTGCCCCGTTTCACTATGCCTTATTGTTACTTTTTTTCCTTTTTATTTATTCTTTTCCTTCCCCCTTTTTTCAAATCAGTTTTCACGGCATTACGTTGAGTTTCTCTTCTTTAATACCTTATATTTTGTTCTCCTCCTCCCACTTACCTTGCCTTTCCTTACCTGACGTTAGCCCTCTGGTTCTTCATTCCTACATCCTGGCTGTCCTTGCCTCTTTTCCTCGGCGTAAAGACTGGAGTAGTCTGTCCACATCCCCATTGGAAGAAGAACTTCAGAAGATCCTAGGCCCAGTGAGTAACATGGTGAGCAACACGATCTTCACTGACAGTCAGAGGGCTTCATTAATTAAGTAGTAATGGAGGAGAAGTGGGACTGCAGGAGGAGGGCTGAAGCAGATCCAGTGAGGGGCAATTGGCTGCGATAAGGGAGGGGGTAAAAGGAGAGTGACCTGGGGACATCGTGGCCATGGAGGTGGAAGAGAGGGTGAAGGGTTTGGCAGGAACTGGAAGGAGGAATTGGGAGAGAGCAGAGGGAGGGCATTGGGGCTGCTTGGCAGCATGGGGTGCTCCGTCCTGTAGGATTTTGGAGGAGGCAGCACAGAGGAGATGGAGAGATCCATGGGTGCAGGACGTGGGGTGCGGGGCACGGAGCTGGGGACCCCTCCCAGCACCTAGGGGTGGCCTCTGCCAGGCAGGGACAGATGTGAGCGGTTCCTGCTGAGCATGGGGACAAGGACGCAGACACACAGAGCGTGGCTTTGCTGAGGGCTTTGTTGATCACTGGAGGATGTCAGCGATCATCAGGGTCTTCCTTCTTCTTCAGAGGACTCCATTGGTCAGCAGAGGATGTCGGAAGGTGTCACTGACCATGGAGAAGCCTTGTCCGTGCAGGGTTTGTGCCCCAGGACTTTGGGCAGGAGGAGGGCTGGCAGCAGCCCAGGGCAGGATGTGGGTCCCCTGGGGACAGCAGCCACAGCCCCTGTCCCACCTCCTCAGTGACGCTGGGAGTCAGTGTCAGACGCCCTCAGTGTCCCTGTTCCAGTGCCAGGCTTATTGTAATGGACTTCATCCTTATGCCCATTCTAAAGATTTGTCCCTTGCTTTTTGCAGCTCCCCTTGAGATACTGAAGGCCGCCCTTAGAAGGTCTTTTCTTCTGCTGGCTGCCAAATTCGATGCGTGTCATGAAGTGCTTTGTAAGGACAAAGCAGTGGAACGTCTTTATCCTCGAGAGAATAGTTTTTAAAAGTCAGATGGCCTCTGCTCTAGAAGCAGATGTCAAATGTGGCTTTTCTCCATGGAAAACTGATGCCTGGCAACTTGGAGACTAACGCATATGTGTATAGAGATGTTTTTTTCCCTTTTAATTTTAATAGTAAACTGATTCTATACTTTTAATTCATGATGAAATGCTAAAAATGTGTACTCTTGTTTTCTGCCAGTGCTTGGCTGACAGAGTTTTTGGCCGTTCTGTGGCATGGAATGCAACCAGCATGGAAGCATCGTTTGTCGCTGTGGATTCTGAGTAAGATTTCTCACCCTCTGCTCATGATGGGTAAGAGTTCATTGCCCTTCATGCTTATTTCTCTTTTCTAATTGTTCTGACAGTGCCTTATAGGGTGAGAGATATTTTGTTAAAATAACATCTAAGGTTTAAATTCTCATGCACAGTTCAGTGCAGCTGGGGATGTTAAGTATAAAACTGAGCAGACAGGAGAAAAAGCGCATATGAATAGATGGAGGGCATTAACCAAATCTGTAAGTAACCTTACTTCTGTGCCAGAATGGAGTTCCGGCATTTCTTAGCAGTGTGAAGTTTGGTCGGGAAGTCACGTGCTGTAGTTTTAGGGAGCAGCACCTCCTTGTGATGTATTGTGTGGGAAACCTGCGAGGTTCTGTTGGGAAAGTATTGCCATGCTTGGGATTCCGGGAAATAAGTATGTTTTTGTCCATGCTGGCATCTGAACAGCGCCTGAAAATAGTAAGCAGAACTGAAGCGCTTCCATACCAAATAATTGAATTGTTTTGGCTGACTGAAGCAGTCAGCTCTGCTGAAGCCAGTGGCATCAGATGGGACACATATTCAGATGAGCTTCACAAAAGTTGCTGGCTCCACATTTTGCTGTACAGTGGGGAGCAGAAAAGCACTTGAAGATTCAGCTTTCACACTGCGCTGTGTAGCTCTTCAGCCTGTTACCTGAACTGCGGGCTGTATGCGGTGCTGCAATTGCTGCTAGGATTTAAGCACGTCTCCTGATCTTGGTCTCCTCTTTGTCACTTTCTCTCTGTTTTAGCAAGTCTGGAGGAAGCTGAGAGTACCAACGTTTTGTGTTTTCTGCTAGGAATGTCACTCATCTTCAAGATTTTCCTTTCAGCTTGGTTAAATAGCATTGCACCAGGCTCACTCGCTTGCTGTGTGTTCCAGATTTGCATCCTGAATGTGGAAATGATTTATGAATTTCTCACATACTTTATCTTACACTAGATTAGTTGTAGATTTTTTTACATAAGTGAAGACTGAGTCCGTATAAATGATGGTTGATGCTCTGCTCTGCTATTTATTCCGAGTCCTCCTCATGCAATGGAACGTGTTTAAGTGCATGGGGCCGGATGATATCCATCGCAGGGTTCTGAAAGAGATGTGGTTGCCGAGCCGCTCTCCATCACATTTGAAAAATCACGGCTGTCTGGTGAAGTCCCCGGTGACTGGAAAAAGGGAAACGTTTTTATAGAATCCCATTTTTAAGGAAGGGAGAAAGGAAGACCCAGGGAAGTGCAGGCTGGTGAGCCTCACCTCTGCGCCTGGGAAGATCATGGAGCGGATCCTCCTAGAAGCTATGTTAAGGCACATACGAGACCAAGAGGTGATTGGAGACAGCCAGCATGGCTTCACCAAGGGCAGATCGTGCCTGACCAATCTGGTGGCCTTTTATGGTGGAGTGAGGGTACGTTCACCCCTGTACTTCCTGGTCTGTGGCAGGACGCAACAGGACCACTCCAGAACCCCACTAGATGGTTTTGTGGCTGGGGTCTTAGTTGCCTTGGGTAGGTTGAGAAAGGGGAGGAGTGCAGTTGGCGCACATGTATGAAGTGAGAATGAATAACGGGTGAAGCGACGCCTTAAAAATCGGCCTTTTTGGTGTGGACCCCACCCTGCTGTGTGACACGGGCTCTGGGATCCGTGCCTCTGCTTGTGACATCACTGGAAGTTCCGAGTGCTGTGGGCGTGGGGAGAGGTGTTAGCAGTGCAGTGTCCATCTGCACGCGTCCCTCCTCCTGCTGCCCTTTGGCTCTTGTGCAGCCGATAGGTGCTCGGAGAGTGACCGCCAGTAAAGAAGGATCTGTTATCCTCTAGTCGGTACCCGACTGTGGGAGAACAGAGGGAGCTGAAAGATGTTCGTCCCTTGGACTGTTCCTGTCTGGATCTGGTACCCAGTGGGTATTCTGTTGGTGCTGTCAAGCGCTGACGGTTTTGGTCGGGGTTTGTGTTTGGAGGGAGTGAGAAGTAGATGTTTTGGGGTTTTTTTGCAGCTTAAGCTTTGTTCCCCAAGTCCAAGCCCTGTGGTTCCCGCTGGGGAAGCAGTGTGAGGGAGGTGAAGCCCTAAGCAGAAAGGCGGCGGTGCCTGGAGCTCTCCGTCACATCTGTGCCCATCTCAGCAGCTGTGGTGCTGTCTCTGTGCACCTGGAGGATGTGGTGCAGAGCTCCGAGCCCGGTGTTGGTGGCACGCAGTGTGCAGTGGTCGTTCCCCTTGTCATGGAAGAGAAACCTTGCTGTTTCCAGCATGATCTAACAGGCTCCGTTGAGCCAGTCCTGCCAGGACTTCCAGCCCTGAGGTGGATGAACTCCCCCGCCCCCTCCTTTGGGTCCCATGTGGTGTCGTTTCTGGCACAATCAATGGAGATGTCGGAGTTGGAAGGTGTCCTTTGGAAGGGTTTAGTTAGAAAAGCACTCTGTGCCTGGGTGTTTGGCATCCTGAGAAGATGACTTGGTAGGTGGGGAACAGCATTGCACTCTGCGCTTCTCTCCTCCCATGCGCAGGAATCACAGCTCTCAGCAGCGTGGCGCTGCTGGATAGCACGTTACTGACAGTAAGGCGAGTCTCCTTCTTTGTGGCTCATCTGTCTCTCGGTGTTGCAGGACCCGTCTGGTGCAGGCAATCCGGTGCCGCCCCAAGTGCCCGGTGTGCAGTGGAACAGCGTCCTGCATCCTTCCATCAACCAGTCAGGCTTTGTGCAAGACCCAGGTATGTGAGTTGGGTTTGGAGCTCATGGTACAAATCTGTTTGTGAAGCTGGGTGCGTAACTGGGAAGTGCCCGGCCTGATGACGTGCATTCTGTGCTGAGATAGCACCTGGAGGCTGTGCCAGCGCTGTTTGCTGCAAGCGTTCCGGCGCCTGGCACCACGTTTGACTGTTGCCAGTCCTTCGGCCTCTGAGTGTTCGATGCAGGCCAGTAGTTGGGCTTGTAAGATGTTTCCTCTGGCTTTGGCAAGACTTTCCTATGGCTGCTGGTTTTCCAAGCTCTGTGACCTTAAGCTTCCCAACGAGGGGTGGCTGTGACGCTGTTGGGTCTCATTTCCCTGTGTGACGGTAAGGGAAAATGAGCCCGAAGTTTCAGCCTTGGTGGCTGAAGGTATGTTCCTTGGGTGAAAGAGGAAATGGGATCTGTTATCTTAGTGGGTGATGCTGGCACCCTACTAGCAACAACTGCAAAATGTGGCTGGGATGGTGCTGGCAGGCTTCTGTCAGTGGGCCCTGTGGGCCGTGGTTACTAAAGACACGCGTGTCCAGCGGCACCTCTGGGTCCTTCACTCACTGCCTGCTCCTCTCCCTGGGTGACCAGGTTACTTGCAGAGGAATGCTCAGGTGCCGCAGCACAGCTCTTCCCAGTCCGGCTCAGCCTTATTTCTCCATCTGCCTTCTGGAGGACAGATGCACGCTGCAGTGGGGCCATATCAGCAGAACTGCACGGGAAGCCACAGACCCCAGGCCGGGCAGCACAGCCCTCAAGGTGAGGCATGGGCAGCTTCTCAAGGGGGAACCGCGTGCAGCGAATGGGAAAGGCCTCTGTCGGAGGCAACGTCTTGTCTTTGGAGAAAGCGTTTTGATTTGATTCTTCTTCACTTCTTGCACGGGCAATGCAAAGCAGTCCACTGCTCGTGAGCTGGAACAACCTGTGCTCTGTGTATTATGCTGGGAGTCATGAACGACGTTGCTCTCAGGGCTGGCTGTACTTTCAACCGTTGCATCTCTCCTTCTCACTTAGGAAGATACAGGCAGCACCTGCAGTGTGTTAAAGAGCCATTTCGCTACGCAGGGAAAGGAAATCCCACGTTCTATGTTTTGGAAAGGGTTTAGAGGCTTTTTTACATCCTGTGCTGTATTGTATAGCTCAGTGTGGTTGGCTGAAGGTTGGGAGAGTGCCAGACAGCTTTAGGCTCGGTGTTGTTCCTTAGCTGTGTCAAAACGCACGTTACGTGGCTCCTATCCAGGCGCTTTGACTTTTAGCACAAGTCCTAAGTCTCTCCCTCTTCTCCGTGAGTGACCTTGAAGTATCTGCTGACAGGAGGTCTGCATGGCGGTTCATGAACGAACCGGTTGAACGATGCCGTCTTCCCCTCTTGCCACCCCTCTAGGAGCTTATCCCGTGTGGCCCAACTGCAGCGCTCTGCCCGGTGCCAACTTCTGCAGCGCAGGACTGGGAGGAAGCATGAACCCGGCGGCAGCAGGGAGCCAGTTGCGTGGCAGCGTTCCTCCTCAGCTGGGGGCAGGGATGCGCCCCCCAGCAGGTGGCATGGCTCACAGAGCACAAGGAGCAGCCGCCGTGTGTGCTGCTGCCAGCGCCATCCAGCACTGGTGAGGCGTGAACATTTCCTTGGTCTCTACGTATCAATCCATTCCCTCTGTCGTAGCTGGCTTTGAAAGCCATGGCTGCAGTAGCCCAAAGCTGGGGTGATAGTCAACATACACTTCCTTAAGGATTTGCCTTCTGGAAGGCTTTTTCCTCTCCCTTCACTGCTAACAGAAGAGGCCCAAACACCAATGGAAGCATCTTTATTTGGAGTGAACGCCTGTTTTTTCCTTGCCCTCTCCAGGCCACCCGGTTATCCCAGTGTGAACCAAGGGGGAATGCTGGGCACTGGACCTCCTTACGGACAGGGAACTAACAGCATGGCTGGTGTGATCAACCGCCAGGGCCCACCTTATCCCATGGGTGGGAACATGGCTAACGGCTCTGCAGGTAAGGCTGGGCTGAGTGCTGGGCTTTGAAGACTTCACAGCATGGATTGAAAAGCAATGTCACAAATTCCTGTGACTTCCTAGGGGTGGCAGCAAGTCCTGAAGTGATGGGTCTGGCGGATGTCAAATTAACTCCTGCAACTAAAAGAAGAAAGAGGGGAGAAGAGACCCAAAAAGCAGAACTGCAGTCGAAGGTAAAACTTCTGTTTGTTTGTTCGTTTGTAAATGACACAGTGTACGTATCTAGTAGTGAGTGCAGCGCCCGAGAGAAACCCAATGTCACTTGCCCTCTACTGTGAGCAGAGCTGCCGTTAGCGTGGCCGTTTGCGCAGGATGTGATCTTGCTGCTCCGTGTGAGCCCAGTGTTACGTCAGCAGCGTGGCCAGTGAGTGGGATATCGTCTGTTGGGATGTTTTCTCTTTTGGAGAGTGGCATATGCTGGCATCTCCTGCCAGGTGTGAGCAGCCGGGATGCAGCACTGTCCTCCCCATCCCTCTGCAGAGCTCGGTTTGTCCCCGAGTCAACGCTGGGCCGGCCTTGCCGTTGTTAGTTGGAGGGAATGGACCGGACCAGATGCTCCCGGTGGGTCGGTCGGTCTCTCCAACTCTCCAAATGCAGTCCATAGCTAATGAGACTGTTGCTCGAATCAGACGTGGTCTCAGCAAAGTAGAGACTGTGCCAAAATCTACGTCGTGCTGCAGCCCTGGGGAATGCCACGTGCAACTGGCTGAGGCGTTTCCTGACGTATGGAGCAAATGAGGCCACAGGAGGTCTCTCAAAGAGGTGGCTCTGCAACGTCTCCGTGAGGTTTGCTTGGTGAAAGCTTTTCCTTTTTAGAAATGCATGTTCTGCTAGTAGCAGCTGGTTCCCTGGTACCTTTGTTGAGTCGTAGTTGTCTTTTAAACTGACATGGACCTGATCTGAGACAAGTGTGGGTCTGGCAGAAAGCTGATCTGAATATGACAGCAGAACCTTGAGGTCTGACTGCTCTTTGAAGCCATCTGGGATGTGATGCAGGTGTTTTTGTGCTCCTCAGTCCTGATGTGTTTCCTTCCATCAGTCCAGTTCCTCTGCTACGGCCAGCGAGATCACTGAACCCTGTGAGCTGGGTGGTGAGCCCGAGAGGAAGTGTCCTGTGGCGCTGAGCGTTTCTCCCCACTGAGTCTGTGTTGCCCGTTTCTGGCTCGATGACCTCATGTTGCCGATGGCTTTACTTTCCATCTAGAATCCCAGGCGACCGATGGACAGCAGCTGCACCCCACCTGCCAAGCGGCTCAAAGCGGGGATGCACAGCGTCCCATGCAGCGCCGGGCAGGGGCAGCCGCAGCAGCAGCCCAGAGCTCTGGAGAATCGCACCGCTCCCAGCAAATCTGCATCCCCGCAGCCAGGGAGGGGAAAGAAGAAGGCAGGACCGCCCATCCCCGCCGCGCACGTGGCACCGGCAGCGGAACGGCCTGCCAGGAAGCGACGGGCCGTCTCCTTCCCTCCGGGATCGGTGGAAGCTGCCAAGCCGGTGTTACAGAAAAGGAGGCGGCTGACAGCAGCAGATGTTGGTAAGAGGAAACTCCTGCTTTTCTGCCTGCGCCCATCGAGAGGCTGGGTGTTGCCATCCCCCTTTGGTACAGTGCTGCCAATTGGAAGGGCTCTGCCAGCTCTGCAAGTGGTCTCCTTTGCCAAGTTAGTTGGGACGTTCTGTCGTTCTGTGATAACGCAAGGGTGAAGGGACCCAGAAGGACTGGGTATAACGTTTGTGTTGGGCACTGTCTGTGTGGAGACTGCTTTTGCGTGGAGCCTGTGCAACGCCTTCAGCAGGCTGTGCTCTGTGTGAGACAAAAAAGCAGTATCCAGTCCCTCCTTCTCGGTTTTGAAGGCCAGGGTCTGGAACTATGACGTGTTTGTGTTCCAGGAGCTCCTGCAGCCTGGAGGGTGATGATGTCTCTGAAGTCTGGGCTGCTCGCTGAAAGCACGTGGGCCTTAGACACCATAACTGTCCTGCTCCACGATGACAGCAGCGTCGCGTCCTTTGACCTCAGGCAGGTGGGTGCAGATGCTCAGCACCGAGCGCTCGCTGAGCTGTGGATTTCCATGTGGTTGGTGTGCAAGCGCGTGGTCTCTCCTCTCTGGTGGGACGTGTCGCCTCTAACGTATCGCAGAAAGGGAACCGTGGTGGGGAGGCCAAGAGGGGCTTTGCAGCAGAGCGCTGTGAAGGGCTGAAGGCTGCTCGCCTCTCCTGGTGCAACAGCTCTGTCTTTGCGCACGGGTCAGCGTGCAGCGTGGCTTGGGTGCCTCTAGAAGGGGCAGCCTGTCTCCATGATTTGCCTCGTGCCTGCAAGGCTGTTGCAAAAACTGTTCCACTATACTTTAGAGGCTGCTCTGCTTAGCATTGCCTCTCTCCTGAGCGTTACTCAGAGAGGAGACGAAAACCGAGAGCGTGCATGTTTACAAGGGTACGAGCTGGCTGGATCCTGACATTCTGGGACCCTTGTTTCTGTTCCAAGCGGACAGAAAGGTCTCTGTTGCAAAGAGCTTATTGCCAGAATGAAAAGATTCCATTAATAAGCGGCTCCTCAAGATCTCTGCCCTTTATGCAGTGGTTGTCCAATTGCTCACAGCGACCTCAGAATTATTTTGTGGTCACTGATCCATCTTTCCTTCCTTCCCCTCCCGTTTTTCTCCTCCCCCATAGCTGCCAGGCCTGCTGGAAGTCCTGGTGGAGTATTTCCGCCGCTGCCTGATCGAGGTCTTTGGAATCCTGGAGGAGTACGAGGTGGGTATTTGCCCAGGGCAAAGATCACTCTGTGGGTTGGAGGGCGCCCACCTGCTCTGGCAGCTTGGCGGCGGAGATACCACTGAGCACATCCAGACCCACTTTGAGAGC